AAGAACAAAATAAAATTCGAGATAGGGTGTCTTCCGGAAGCTGATTTATGAAAGGGTGAAAATTTTAGTTTTAGAAATATCAAGATAACCAAGAAGTAAGAACTTAACGTTGGGCTTTAAACGTTCAAACGCGGCACTTACAATTTTTTTAAGGGAGCAACCATTCCATCCAAGAATATGAAATTTGGCCCCCGCGTTCCATACAAATTATCGTGTTTGAAATTTTAGTTGGGAAATTCGGTACGCAACGTCTTCGGAAATTTAATTTAGTGTACATTTATCGATCGAAAGAAACGTAAATTAATTGCAGGTGCGTCGTTATCAGTATAATAAATTGCGAACACATGTTTGTTGACGCACAGCTGCATACACGCAGATTTCGATTGTATTTGTAGAAAAAAGCCGTTTTATAGACATTTCGTTTGATTAACAAATCTAAGAATGTTTAACTACTCAAAAGTTAAAGCTCAAAAACGGTCTAAAGATCTAAATGGGCAACTACCTATCATTAGTTTCAGATTCTTAATTTCGCGGTCAACTTTAATTTATACGTAATTAATAACTCACCCTTAACTCTGTAACGCGTTTCATAACTGGAACCCTTATGGAAACCATTCGAAATTTGAAGAATATAATGCTAAAGACGCACTAACTTCGCGTTACGCGCACGACTGTTTGGGCACAAACTATAGGTACAATTTTGGAGAAAGGAGACTAGTAAGCGATAACTTACGCGCGCTTATCTACACCTTCCACTCACCTGTTCTATCTTTATACAATTGAAAAGTAAAAACCAAATTTATTTTGAAATAAATTAAAACGAAACATTTTTCTACGCTGATTTTTTTTCCTTGTGAAAGTTACCAGCTATTTTTGCTTTGGCATTCTTCAGATTCTTTGAATAACACGGTAAGTTCTAGTTCCCTAATCCTTCCCTACTGGAATGCTACTATTCCCTTGATACCAAGCGTGAAGGAAGGATGGTTTATGATTTTTTTTGTACTATTGAGTAATTCAGAAGTGGTATCTGAATCTATAATTTTATAGTTAAAAAAATGTTAAAAGAAACGCAGTCCAAAGGTTTTTAAAAATTGTCCACGTGCTTAATGCATAATAAAGTAACAGTTAACAAATAATAGCATTAATTAATTAATTCTTTGCGGTGTTTTAGCAAAATGTCCCATTAATATCATTTAACCTTTTTTAACGATGGAGGTAATTGTCGAAATTATGAAAGCTTCCTAATCTTATATTTAATTGTTTTATCTGGTGTAGTACTGATTTAGGAAGTTCAGCTTTATTTGGTAAAACCGAACCGAAAATTTGCGTCGCCGTAACTCATATTTTGTATATATATGGGGGTTAAATTTGTTATTAAACCGTAATTAATTAAATATATTAATAATAAATCTAAATATGCGAAAAAATAGGGTAGTAGAGAGAGCCAAAGCAAATATTTACTATGAATAAAGAGGTCCCCAAATTGGAGTTTGTTCTTTAATTTTTGTTGAGCAACCGTAACACATTTTTCGAAATAGAAAAAAATATAACTGAGTTTTGGACACTTTTCTGCGCATGCCCGTTTCTAAAACTCATCTTTGCTGGAGAAATATTAATTGTGAAATTTGTGACTAGTTTCCAAATATTGGCAGGGGAAAATGCACCTTTTAAATAATTAGTTGCACATTCTTGATTTCACGATCAATTTTAATTTCTACGTAAATAATAACTAACCGGACTCACCCTTAACTCTGTAACGTGTTTCATAACTGGAACCCTCATGGAAACCATTTGAAATTTGAAGAACATCAGAACGCTAAAAACGCACTAACTTCGCGTTATGCGCACGACTGTTTGGGCACAAACTACAATTTTGGGGAAAGGTGACGAACGTAACCGGTAACTTACGCGCGCTTATCTACACCTTCCACTCACCTGTTCTATCTAATACAATTGAAAAGTAAAAACCAAATTCATTTTGAAATAAATTAAAACGAAACATTTTTCTACGCTGATTTTTTTTCCTTGTGAAAGTTAGGTACCAGCTATTTTTGCTTTGGCATTCTTCGGATTCTTTGTTCCCCTAATCCCGAGCCTAATCCTTCCTTACTAGAATGCTATACCATTATTCCCTTGATACCAAACGTGAAGGAAGATAGTTCATGTGTTTTTTTGTACTATCGAGCTTATTAAAATAATTCAAAAATGGTATCTGGAACTGTTATATAATCAAAATAATGTTGAAAGAAACGCGGTCCAAAGATTTTTAAAAATTATCCACATGCTTAATGCATCATGAAGTTACAAATTTATTAATTAATAATTAATTATTTATGGAGTTTTAGCAAAATGTCCCATTAATGACCTTTTTAAACGATGGAGGAAGTCGAAATTATGGAATCATGTACTTAATTATTTTACTGATTTAGGAAGTTCAGCTTTATTTGGTAAAACCGAACCGAAAATTTGTGTCACAGTAACCAATATTTTCTATATGGGGGTTAAATTTGTTATTGAAAGATATTCATTTTGTGAAGAAAGCTCTCCAACCCTTAAAAATGTCACAAAAACTGAAATTGATGGAACAACATCATACACTCTTAACCTACATGATTACTTTTTGTGAAATCACATTGAAATAACAGGATTGCTCTAGAAATGAAAACTAAAGTTCGGGTTGGTTAAAGAATTTAATAAGCGACTACTGAAGATTTTAAAAGGGCCGGCCATTCCACCTAAGGGTAAATACGACGAGAATCTATTCGATACAGATTGAGCATTCTTTTGTTAATTTTCCGGAAGCTGATTTACTAGTTGGGAATCTCAGTACCTACACAAATACTTCCGAATTTAATTTAGTGTCTATTTATCGATCGAAAGAAAAGCAAATTAGTGCAGGTAAATTGATTGGAATTATCAGTAATAATTGCAAATACGTGTTGACGCACAACGCATACACGTCGATTTCCATTAAATTCGCAGATTAAAATAGTTCGATTAAAAAATTTAAGAATGTTGAATTATTCAAAACTTAAAAACAGCCGTTTTTCCGGAAGCTGAATTATGAGGGGGTGAAAATTTTAGTTGGGAAAGCCGGTACACAACGTCTTCGGAAATTTAATTTGGTGTAGGTACATTATTTTATCGATCGAAAGAAACGTAAATTAATTGCAGATGCGCGGTTATCAGTATAATTGCCAACACATGTTTGTTGACGCACAGCTGCATACACGCAGATTTCGATTGTATTAGCAGAAAAAAGCCGTTTTATAGACATTTAGTTTGATTAACAAATCTAAGAATGGTTAACTACTCAAAAGTTAAAGCTCAAAAACGGCCTAAAAAAATCTAAATGGGCAAATCTAAATGGGCAACTACCTATCTTGCATTCTTCGTTTTTCGCGCATTGTCGAAATGGAAAAAATATAACTGAGTTTTGGACACTTTTCTGCGTATGCCCGTTTCTAAAATTCCTTTTTACTGGACGAAATTTTAATTGCGAAATTTGTGTAGGTAAAAGATTAGGTTCCAAATATTTGCAGGGGAAAATGCGCCTTTTAAATCATTAGTTGCACATTCTTGTTTTCACGATCAACTTTAATGTATACGTAGTAAATAATAACTCACCCCTAGCTCTATAACGTGTTTCATAACTGGAACCCTCATGGAAACCATTTGAAATTTGAAGAACAAAACGCTAAAAACGCACTAACTTCGCGTTACGCGCACGACTGTTTGGGCACAAACTACAATTTTGGGGAAAGGAGACGAACGTAACCGGTAACTTACGCGCGCTTATCTACACCTTCCATTCCACTCACCTGTTCTATATCTTTACAATTGAAAAAACCAAATCTATCGTTTGAAATAAATTAAAACGAATGACCTGGATATTGGATGAATTCCATCGTCTCCAATATTTTTGAGGTTGGAATTCCATAAGGTACCGGGGTGGAAATATTGGTTCATTACGAAATTTTGAAACGGGTAGAAACTTTATCTTTAGGTGGCAAATGCAAGGTAGCTTTTAAGGCCCTTATACAGGATCTATCAAAAAAACACAGATAGAATAACCAGCTCAGCGTAGATATCGTACCTTTTCTGCTTCACAATTATCCTGTGAGCAAATGCAATAGGCTATAATAAGTGTCTTCGGTTATTTTGTGGGTAGGTACTACTTATTTATCTGTTTTTTCCATAAAAACAATTATTGTATGTACCTATGTCCAGGATTTGTTGTTAAAAATCTTTTCAGTTCATGAGTTATCATTTCGCAATTTTGGACTGACGGACGGGCAGGCTATTAACTAGGTATTAAGTACAACATTTTCAATGAAATTAATTTTAAATTATTAAACGTAATAATTAAAGGTGTTAGCCTCCTCACTCCACTCAATAAGCTCCTAGCATATGACTAAAGGTACACACTTGATTTTGAAGCGAAATGTATTTTTGTGTTTGTGTCCTTTGATCTTGAAGTTGATGCTGTTAAAATAACAATCCTAGTTCCCTTCTGCTCTTAAATTGCAAAATAGAAACGTAATGAATGTTTGCCGAGACAGATACAGTACAGTGGAGTATCTTATTTATTTATTTATGTATAATTGGACGTTTTTTAAGAATGCATTTTATTTTGTCTTTTAGATTAACTAAATGTAGGGATACTACTACAAACTACAGGATAACATTGTATACATTTTCCCTAAGGAACTCAGCCCCGTCGCGGTGAAAATTGCAATACAGTTTCTAAATTAAACATGGGCAACCCCAAACAGTAGTAAATTGCTTTTTATTTCATTTCGTTATTTGCTAAGTAGATACCTCGTGTTTCCGTTAATGAAATACAATTTGGATTCCAGTGTTAATAAATAAACAATCAGCATGTAGGTACTCTCAGTCGTATTACTGTTTGTTGATTGTAGGTACACACTAACTAAAATACAACAGTTAATTAAAAGTTTTAACATCGACCAATTGAGTGCTTGCATTTTTAATTACAGGATGCAGCGATTTGCGTCAAATTCCATCTTGAAAGAGAAAAGAATCCGGAAAAGTTCAACAGCCGCATGAAGAACAAATTGTGGTACTTCGAATACGCAACTTCAGAACAGTTTTCCGCCTCCTGCAAAAATTTGCACGAAAACGTCGAAATATTGGTAACAATTTTTGCTAAAAAATCACTAATAAAAAACGAAATTTACTGTTGCAGTGCGACGATGTCTCTCTAGATCTGGCCAACGGTGCTCCTCTGCAAGGTATAGCCTTGTTAAATATTCCTTATACGCACGGAGGTTCGAACTTATGGGGCGAGCACCTCTCAGGTTCAAGACGGAGAAGAAGCAAAAAGAGAAAAAAGAAACAGAAGGAATTGAGCACTAGCAGCTTTAACTCTGTAGATCTGAGCGTCGCATTGCAAGGTACCTACCAAATGTGCTATTCCCAATTGTTATTGCGTCGCTTTCAGACATTGGCGATGGTTTGATAGAGGTGATCGGCTTGGAAAACTGCTTGCACATGGGACAGGTTAGAACGGGTCTGAGAGCAAGTGGGCGCCGATTAGCCCAGTGTTCGTCCATAGTAATTAAGACTAAAAAGACATTTCCCATGCAGATAGACGGGGAACCGTGGATGCAGCCGCCCACTACAGTAATATTAAGATTGGTCTTGTTTTGCTGTTTAATAAAATTTGTCCTAGGTACGTATCACTCATAAAAACCAAGTACCAATGCTTATGGCACCACCTCCCGAAAAAGGTAAAGGGTTTTTCAGTTTTTTCAGAAGATAGACTCTTCCAGTTTTATACGTTATCCATAATCTGTTGTTTATTTCATCACGACAATAATGGAGTTGTTAATTATGTACCTATACTTAATCTGTATATGTTGAAAAATTTCTTTATTTTTCGTCTTTTCAGTATTAAACCTTGGTTAAGTATCTTAGTCGTCGCGATTATACTAGATTTTATCACTGTTCAGCATTTTGTCGATGCGTTGTTTATTGGAATAATGTGTGCTGCTATACAATAAGATACAAAGTGAGGTATAGTGTAGATATTTATTAATGTGCGAATAATATCTAGCAAAATAGGGACCATACTGCTTAACCGCCTATCCAACGTCTTAGAAAGTTGTATTCCTTCAGTTGCCTTTACATTGAAATTCATTGCTTTCCTTTGAATATAATTATTATATTATATATATGGAATAAATGTATCTAAGCGAATGCTGTGATGTTATATAGAAAATGAAACAACTGGAGTTTGCCGAGTGCTCTTCCCCATTCAAGCGATGGAGAAATACTGCTCGAATTGGCATCGAATTTTTTTGTGGTAATGAGTTATCTTTTTATACGTAAACTTATTACAATTTATATTTATACATTTTTTTGGAGTGCCCAAAAATTACAATGGAGCATGAATTTCATTATAAAAGCATAACAAAAAACTACAAGTAAACATTATGATCATAGTTACGCATTAAGTACTGCAATTTCCACCGTTCTATTGTAAAGTAGATTTAACGTACATTGGTAGGTATAAAACGAAGTGCGACGTACAAACGTTTGCGTACATGCGTATAAATAAAATTTATTTTATAAAGAAGTACTTTTATGTACGTAATAGTCATTAAGTAATGGGTACTGTCTCGTTAGAAGTAGAAAACGAATATGAGTAGTTTATAAGAAATCTGATATTTTACAAGTTTTTGTTCTATTTTTAAAGAAATAGAAGTGTAAAACAGCATCAGCCATTTATAAATTAGAAAACGGTACCTACTCATATCCTAAACGTGTGTAGGGGAAGTTACTCAAACTAGAGAAATATAAAAGTTGAATTGCTTTTTTACACTTCGTATTGTATTTGATATATCATTAAAATAGTACTGCCACTTATCAAGTGTGGTTTTGCTATAGAGCTTTAATTGTGTATTATAAAAGATTATATAATAGACTAATGAGAAATTGAATGAATGTATATGCCTTCACTGATTCTAATGTAAAAAGAGATGTTTGCTTTTAATGTCCATTTTATATTTAGTACTTACTGACATAGTGACATATATTAAGCCATTTTTGTTTTTATACAATTTATGGCATATAGCATATAGATGAATCGTCCATCCTATAATTGCCACTACTTTTCTGTTACAACTTTCGTAAATGTAACAATGTAAGTGATATTAAAATAATTTACCAGATCAATAGTCCTTGTAGTCAAATTTCTAAATTTTCCTTATAATTTTCTACTACGTCAGTTACGTATGGACCACATGAATTTAGCTATGGTCGTAACCGATATAGGTATTTAGTTCTGTGTTTGCACTTTTGTACCTACCTCTTTCTCTTTACCTTCACTCCAGACCATGCAATTACCCTTACTTCACCCTTAATAAATGGGGAACGGAATGTACCAGCGTGATGTATACGGTTTGCACAAAACTTGTGATTGGGAACATATTTGAAGGTAATATTGCATTTATTATTTCTCTCTGAACATCACATCCACACCACAAGAACTCTCAATTCGCACTACACTGGAAAACAAGGGAACAAAGGAAAACTTTAAAGCATTTGCAAACAAGGAAAAATTACAATAGATACGATTTTCTGTAGGGAAATTTATTGACACTCAGTTCACACTCGGAAACCAGACTTTGACTTCATATTCAAGAGAACTGATCCTTGAACTCGAATAAATCGAAGGCTTGACATCGCCCCGTTCACTCGAAACTCGCGTTTGACCCACCACCGAAAAGATCATGTCGGGGGCTACCACAATCCTTTTGTCGGTACCCACTTCCGACGTCCGGTCACCCGCAATTCGCATTTTGGTGAATTTCGCTAAAAATCCTCCACAAAATAGTACTCGATTATTCTTAAACTTTCGGGTGCCCAAAGTCGACTACCCCTCTAAACAAAAGGTGGTTAATTTCGCCCTTACGAAAAAAACAAAATTCCGTCACGCAGGAGTTGTGCGCGTTTACAAGATGTTTCCGACGACACAAATTTGAAAACAGTCGGACCAAGACTGTAAAAGACGATAGGAAAAAATTGAAAAATCATCACGTTATTATAACACGCTAGGGAATGGCGCCCGGTCGTCGCCGACTCCACATCAACTATAGGTATCCCCGTCCCTAAATACCCTTTAATTGACGACGTTAAATAAAATGCTGTTCCGTTATATGGTATATATTAACGATGTATAGAAAAGCAGAGTTATCGACAGGAGTTGAGCGAAGACCCGGAAGGATGATAGGTAGCCCCTCTACTCATCGCTCGGTTCCACTTAGCGTTCGCTTGGGGATGATTAGGCCGGGCACGTCGGAGATGTTTGATTCCGAAAATCCGGTTGATTTCAGTGACGAGAACAGACTCAAATTGTTGGCCACGGTCGGTTGTAATCTGTTGAGGAATTCCGAATCTTGCAATCCATTGCGACGGAGATGGCATTTATGGGAATAACTTCGGCCCAAGCCGTGAAGCGGTAGGTACGTGTATCCTAGGTTTGTATGAAGGGGCAGGCGCAAATTTAAAGGGGGCGCAGGGGGTACGCACCCCCTCCTAGACAGTAATAGTTAGGCGGGTGGTCATATTTAGTGACTCATGGAAGAGAGATGTATATTTCAATTGCTGATTATTTAATAATTGATCTAAAAAATTATATTTAAACTTCAACTTAAATCGGTACATTAATACCTACCTAATGCTCTGCAGGCCGTCGCAGATGATAACATTTTAATTGATCTTTTAACATTAATAACAAAGGAGTACGGATAACCCGTCGTTAGCAGAAGTTCTGGATGAAGTGCAGCCATACACGGTGTCCCAAATAAGGATGTCTGTCATGAAGATTTCGGAAACCATATAAAATTTATGAAGATGGTCAAATTAGAGACAACAATATGCCGATTTGGTTTTTATTATTTTCTGGTGCTATTTGAACAGATACAAAAAAGAACATTATTTTTCTGATTGCCACTTATTGTTTTACAAGACACCGTTGAGACGCTCAATTTATTTTTTTATATGGCTTGTAAAAAAACTAGATAAGTACCATATTGAGTAGCATTTTTTATTACGAATGAAACGATGTACGACACACAAAAGAAAACAAAAGTCGGAAACATGTTGGTTTCAACAAGATGGTGTACCTACTCGTGAACAATGCCCTATAATAGTGTGTAAAGTGGAAAAAAATCGATATTCTTCTCAAATAATTAAAAATTGTATTTTTAGGAAAAATGTGATACTGAACCACCCTGTGTGATATATTGTTGTAAAGAGAAAAAAAGACGTAATCTCAAAATGTGAAAATTCAAAATGGCGCCCATAAGAAAAACTAAAGTTGCCACGTGTTTCTCCGTCATCTTGAAAGTTATTAAAAACAGGATGCCATATTTGAAATCTCCATTAAAAAGTGTCCCAATAATGTGTTAATTAGAAATGTCTACTATACGATTAGTTTATCATAAAAAAATTAAAAACGAAAATCAGAAATTTTCGTTTTTTTGCGATATCTTCAAAACTATTGAAGATATTTCAAATTTCTTTTCAGATTCTTATTCGGCACGAAAATTGGCAACTTTGCCCCCATTTAACCAACTTTCTATCTCTTAAGATAAGTGACATCCCCATCCCCATGGCACTGGAAAAATGGACACCGTGTATATTAGGTATTATGCCAAAAATGTTCTATGTTTTTGCGTAGCTATAATAAATGTCTTTTTAGAAATATATTCACTTTACAAATTTTAATGCGCCCCTCCCTTCACAAAATCCTAAATCCGCACTGAGAAGGGGACCGACCAAATCCATCTGTTACGTGATTGAAACGTAGAGATTCCAATTTGAATTATCCTGGAGGTGATATGGTGTGCAGATGAATCTTAAGAGTGTAGACAATCAGGGCGGCCGATTTAGCATGGGGCCATGTGGGTTCCATAATCGAGACACTGTGGCGACACCAAACTTTGATGTCGGATTTCATGGATCCATAAAATTATAACGTTGAATAACGAAATCAGTAATTACTCAACGGTTATAACTAATATGTAGGTATACTATCACTGTTTGCAAGTAAATGGTAACGTGATACTTTCCCGCATGTAAAAGCAGGCCATATGTTGGGATAAGCTGTAAGTGCGCAGTAAAGACACTCGTTTGCGCAAGTGTCTTAAATAAAATAGTATTTCAACACAAATTCAAAATTTATATTATTTATTATTAGAAACAATAATAATTAATCCAATTATTTACTGTCTCCGCTTAGTGAAATTGCATTTAGAAAATTCACTACTAGCCGCCCACCACTTGCCCTTTAGAATTTCTATTCAAGTTACTTGGGGCTGGAGGCAGCTGCGAGCTGGAGCTTACCATCGCCGGCCGCACGTTGTCCAGAAGCAAGCGAGAGACCGAAAATTTCTGGTAACGCCCGAAGCACTCCCCCGTTCCGCCGTTTCCTACCGCCGTCACCGTCTACAGATTCTGACTGGATTTTTTTCTTACCTTCGTTAAATTTCATTTCTGTAATAAATGCAGTTTATTTTTTTGTGTAAAGTAGAACCGAAGCTACCGTTGCTGGTGCGTGAGCCTTCCGACGAAAGTGCGTTGCATTGTGATCCTCATATGCGAGGCATCATATTTGACTTTGGAAAATCACAAAATGAATATAAAAATACACGATATAATATAATATATACTACAGTGCAAGTGAAAGAACTCGAAATCCAAAGCGTTTCCGTGCGCAAGTTCAACTTTGCGCATGCATATAAATGAATGCGCAATGTTAGTACTTTGCGCACGCGGTTGGAAAAAAATTGTAAGGCACTGGATTCCATGTTAAGAACTTAAATGTAATATAGCGATGGATCAATCTCTATTTGAGTGTGGGGGCAAATTATTTTCTACGCAAAATATCAATATCTTTGCCCCCTCCCACAATCTATCATGTTTAAACAATTTCAGAAGGGAATAATTTAGTGGGCGACACCTTCAATACTGTAGTACTGGTACCCGCATATAGGAGGCGTGAGCGGACTATGCTTAGATGACACTTTAGCGTCTGCAGGAAGAGCCATTCGGCTCGTGGCGAACTAGTAGGTGCATTAATAGAATAGGAGAATGTGTCATCTTTCGCCTTCTCACGTGCGGTAGCAGTGCCAACCTATTTTTATTTATTCTGGCATTGCTTAACGTTGTACGGTAAAAAAAGGATGTATAGAGTTGGATACAGGAATTGACAGACCTTTCTAATAAAGTATCACTGACATTATTTCAGTTGAGATTTTTGTCACAAGGGGTGTTGATGGAGGGTGCTGACAAGGGGTTGATTTTTTCGTATAAATGTGTCCCCTCTGAAAACTAAACGTGTTTTTGCGATTTTAGCGCATTTTTGAAAAAAATACGCTATTATATTCGTTATGGCTGGCAGGCCGGCTGTCCGCGTTAGATCTCCACAACTACAATAGCTAGAGACTTCAAATTTTCACTAGAAGCTTTCTGCTATAGTGTAGATGTGCAGGCACTAGTCTATTTTGCTTTAGATTACTTGTGAGATCGATAATTGAAGAAAATAATTTCGATATGGGTTTCGGAGGTGCTATAATTGTATCGTTAGATAGCGCTACCAGTATAAAAACTTATTATTTACTTTGTGATTTGTTTTACAAAATGAAGACGTACCTCGAGACGTACCCTCAATTGAAATTAAATAAAATTGATTATTTAAAGCAGCCAAAATTACTCGTGAGATCGATAATTTTAAACTTCGCTAATAAAATACTGACCTGCATTACCAAAAATGCGCTTTAATCATGCATATGCTGATTTACAACTTGTTTTATAGAATCAATATCAACCAACTTATACAGGGTGACTTGACTGGAATGCACTGTCTGATTCGGCCATGCAAATTTGATCAAAGCATATATATATGATAGCCGTTAAACTTCATCTAAATTTTAAGAGCCCCCTAGAGTTCCAACAATTTCTAAGACCTTTTAAAACCTTCAGAGACTCTACAAGTCTTCTGAAGCCGTTTTTTCCTCTAGGAGTGTACATGGATTTCCCAAAGAGATACTCTGAAGGAGCTTTGAGATCCTGAATTAGCATTTAATCTTTAAAATCGTTGTCTCCATGTGACTCCAAATAAATATCTAAAATACCACAAAAATCGTCTAAAGGCTTTGAGAACCCTCTAATTGACTTATAGAGATGTCCTTCAAAGTCTCTATGGGTCAATATTATACCAGGTATAATAAGTACTCGACTGACTAATATTTGTGTATTTCTTTAGCTATCGATTTCGGGGGGCTAAAGAAATAAATAAATATTAGTCAGCCAGTACTTATTATATCTATATAACATACCTAACAACTGATATATGGGACATACGTAAAGTTTCTCTATGGGCATTGAAACAATTCTATGAGTCTTTCAGGACCTTATAGAGGCTTTGAAGGACTCAATTGGATTTAGAGAGACCTTAAGGGGTTTTTGGGTACTTAACTTATGAGTCTGTAACAGTTTTTAAGCGCCTCCAATGAGAGCTTTCATAATCCTTAAACGGTCTTGAAACTTTCAACATCTAACCTTTAAGTGCCAAGCTTTGAAGGAATTCTTTAATATTTGAGAATAGGATCTCACTAAGGTGATAGGTGAAGGATTTGTTAAAAATTAATAGTTATAATAAATAAAAAAAAGGAGATACAAGAATTTTCCAACAAATATTGAACAATAAAAGCTATTTAAATAAATTTTTCAATTAGTCTCATTATCATCGGCACCAAATTGAGAAGAGACCCACGCCAAACTCCATTTTAAATTAGTTAACATGAACTTGAGTGCCTTGGTCCATTGTTCCTCGGAGTTAAACTGTATTCTGAAATTATGATTAGGACAGCTTTTAAAGGAAAGACAAAACATACTTTATCGAGTAATTTGCATCGGAAGAGGAATCTTCGATTTTTCCCTTATTCATTTTGTAAGGTAAACAGAAATCCTTGTCGCCCTCTTCGACTTTTTCTTTAAATTGTTGCAAGCAGTCTAAGAACGCAACCATGCCGGCATCAAATTTGGTATCCCACAGGAACCGAAATCCACCTGACCCAAATAACGGTAACTCCTTTTGATCGGAGAGTACCTACAAGAACTTGGTCAATTTGAAACTTGGTAATAAATTAAAATCCACCTCGATATAGGAATGATTGCCATATGGAACTAATTTATACCTATCGAAAGTTAAATTTATTTTACGAGCTAAAGCTGCTAGTAACAATGCAGTTTGCCCCCAAGCCGCATTAATTTCTGACCAGTCGATTGGTACAGAAGGCAAACGTCCTAATCTAAAATTGTTAATCGTACCGAAATGTCCAGAATGCCATATGTGAAAAGTAGCATTAAAAACGTTGGTTTTCTTTAATTTTTCTAATTGTGACTGTGTATATTCAAGTTGGCATTCAACACTCCTATACTCATCGTCAGTTGCCATTAAATCTCGCCTATGGCTTGTGTATTGCCTCCAATATCGTTCCTCATCCTGTGTCAAACGTTGTGATATCCTCTCTTGTTCCTCGATCGCTAGCACTATGGCACTTTCCTCCTCCTTCATACGTTCAAGTTCATCCAATAAACGTTTCTCTTCATCGTGAAGACTGTGTAATTCTTGCTCTAATGTATCCAGATGTAGATCCTCACTGTCACTTTCTAATCTACAAAACTTTCCAAGATCAATTGCCTCAACTTTCAAAGTATAGGTACTTGCGTAAATATTCACAGTAATCATCGTAATCGTTGTGCGTCAGTTTAACTTGCTGCTCCAGCATTTCAATAAGAGCATCCGCGCATTCGTCGCATAGCGGATGATCGATATGAGAATTCTCCGAGAGGGTATCAAACAAGGTCGCGCGTACCTGAAACACATTGAATTCATTGCGGCCACTACGTAAGTACCTACCCTCATTTGATTACTTATCGTTTCGACCTCTCCCGAGTCGGATATGAGCATGAAACCGTTTATCCCATTCCCAGAGTCCGAAAGGCGGCACGGATGAACGAAGTGATCGACGCTGGTTGCTTGTGATTCGAGATCGACATCAGGATTTGATATAACAGGTACTGAGACAGAGACACTTTGTAATTGACAAAATCAGGTTGACAGACTTACAAGTTAGTTCGGCGAGGGTGTGCTCGTTTAAGTAATTAAATGTGTCATCCAGCCGAAGTGGTTGAAGGCACCTTTGGCACGCAAACGATACTAACAATTTTTCGTCGGACATTTTTTTAAATTAGAAGAGATTTTTTAAATATTTGGCATTGTTTGCTAACTTCACACAGATTCCAAAGTGCGTAAAGTGACAGTGTTATAACCTAAATGGTGGAATTTGGCGTTTGGTGTTCATGTACTTTTTCTGTATAGCGTATTTTAATACAATTTGCTTCAATGTATAAACCACCGTTTCTGTTTAAGAATATCATTCAAAGTAAGTATTTGGGAACGACATTTAAAATTTGCAAATTATTGAATTGTCACCAATTTGACATTTGACAGTTCGTTCTTGTTCGTCTTATTTTTTTATAACTTCAGTGCGGTACTGTTTATATACAGAGTTGTGCATATTTTTTGACCGATTACAGAATGTATTAAGATCAGATGGCATATGATTTGCTGTTATCACGAATCTTGCATTTTATTGTAGTTCTATACTCAAATTAAGATTTATAACAGTTTTACAGTTCAACAATATAATGAAATACAAATGTCGGACTCAAATGACATTGGTTAGTTTTTGATTTCACACAAAGATTTAAATCCATTTGCAAAGGCATTGAATTTTCTTTTTAGTTTGAAACTCTATTTAAGTCTTTTCTGACTGTTTTCAAAAGCTTGTTCCTTTCGTTAAGGTTCTTCAACTTTGCGGATAAGAATTCCAATTCCATTTATAAAGGCCTGGACCTTTAGGCTTGAAAATATGAAACCTTTATTAAAAATCTTTGGAATTGCAAGGGATAGGTAGATGAACTTAGAATTGCGCAGGTTGCGCATGCCCACGTCTGAATTTTTATAATATGAGATATGATTGTCTTTACTACAAGCATGTGGTTAAAATAATTAAGAATTATGGATGGACGGATACTTACGCAATTGTTGGCTGTATTTTACATGACACATTTTCTAAATGGATTCTATATAGTTTAACAAAGCTTTTTCCACTTTTCTGTATTACTTTAAGTAATTTTGAAAATTTGATTATTCTATTTGATTGTAGGTACCAACTCCAGAGTACTTAAAAAAAGCTTATCAAACCGTTCACACCCAAATAAGCTTAATCTTCAAAAAGTGTTAGTATTAACGAAACTCTCTCTTTATGAGTGCGAACGAAATAGACATAAAACTCTGACAGATGAACAATTTGAAAATGAATTACGGAAAAATGGGTTGGATTTCGATAGGCTGTCATACTTCTATCACCTTCACAAGGATTTTGAATTAAAAGTTATCAAAAATTTGAAAGCTGTTGCTACTGATATTAGAGTGGTTAATAGGTAAGTGCAATTGTTTTTTTAAAGGTACATGTGCCCAAAAAAGGCTGCGATGAAAGAAAATTCCATTTGTCGCTTTCCATGCGGATTTGAAAGTCGGAAGTCTGCAAATTAATATTCCAGCATTTTTGCAAAATTAGAGTAGACATGATCTTCTAGTTTTTGAAAGTTGCATATTTTGAAAATTTTCATTCGACTTATGGAACTCCACAAGGGAGCTCCCCTATTGGCTACCATTTGATGTGTTTACAGAATGAATTATTCAAATGAGGCTGTTGAATGGGCGGATGTAGTAATACCAACCGGAGGTGATGGTACTTTTTTGCTAGCTGCTAGTAAAATTAAGGACAATAAAAGGGCAGTGATCGGATTTAATTCAGATCCTACAAGATCAGAAGGACATTTGTGTCTGCCGAAACACTACTCGGAAAATATAAGCGATGCACTTGAGTTGTTAAAAAAGGTAGAATTTAACATTTCCTTTTGGAATGAATTTTGAATGATTGTAGGGACAATTTTCTTGGCTGCTGCGCACTAGAATCAGAATGAAATTATTGGGTCAGACATGTCCGGTAATTCCGACACATTTGCATGTATATGACAAAAATTGCAATTATGAGCCATTTACGAAAGAGCACGAGCTGAATCAAAGTAACGAATACATTTTGCCGTACTTAGCTTTAAATGAGGTAACTTGTAATGCTTACAGACTTTTATATTCAATTATCTGCAGGTTTTTATAGGTGAATGTTTATCTGCTCGCGTGTCTTATTTAGAGGTAACTTTAAATGGCAATGAACGACCAACAAATATGAAATGTTCAGGATTGTGTGTAACCACCGGTACGGGTTCAACTTCGTGGCATTCGAGTATGAATCGAGTTTCAACTGAGTGCGCTGCTGATCTCATCAGTCTCATTAAAACGGATTCAAAGGCTAATATTCAGGAGCTTGCTGAAGCTGTGAGCGCCGAATACAACAAAAAATTAATTTTTGAACCAGGTGAATGCACCGACTACAAACAGCTTTTTATTCAATGCTTTACAGGCGACACCCGACTTAGTTACACAATTCGAGATTTGATATCGGCTGCAGTATGGCCCCAGCCGAAAGGAATACGATCTAGAGACTTCTGCACGTCAATTGCTATTAAATCTAAATGTATAGATGCATGTTTGGTAATCGACGGCGGGGTGTCTTTAGACGTATCCAATGGGGCCACATTAATTTTGACTACAAATCCTCAAGATACCCTTCGTACTGTCATTCTACCGGATTAAGTGTACAAACTACATTTTAACGTAAATGGTGTGGGAATTTTTTATCCCTTAAGTGTAAGTGAAAAAAATGCGTGATTTTAATGAAAAAACATGTGATTCAATAAGCGACAATTGTTATTATTTTATTGTCTTTTTGTTAAAGTAGGAAATAATCCATTATTTATACGCAATAGGAAATGGTAAATGCTTCATGTATTTTTAAGCAATGGGAATGCCAATTTTGTAATTTGTACAGTGTAGATGTTAAATACAATTATTTTAATTATCAAAAATGCCAGTTGATAACATTCGTATTATTCTAACATCCGTTAGGTGCGCTCTTAAAAAACTTGAAGTTTGACACCGTCCATATTTTTCCGATGTCGGAGAAAGGGGTAATTAATTAAAAACAGTTTAATTTGTTTGAACGTATCGAAGGTATAAGCGTACAAGACTAATATAATTTGTATATTCATTTATTTTTTCTTTCAAGTAAAGCGAAATTATTATTCCGTTAATGATGCTTTAATTTTAAAAGTTCGCCAACTGTGCGCGAACTACCCCAAGTTCATCGCAAATGACCCATTTAAAAAACCCGAAATTTTAAGTGTTGCTGAGTTTTGTTAAAAAAATAACTCCGGTGTTTTATAGTTCCGCATTTATGCATAGTCCCAATGATAAACTCCAAGGAGAAAAACGACAACCCGAATTTTTAAATGAAACAATCATACAAACTTAAATTTTATACTGTGGTTTTATCTATGAAAATATTTACATTAATAAAAAATTATAAGTACATTATCGATCATCCAAAAGGAATCACAGCAAACATAATGCAAAAAGGTAAGGGAAGAAGAGACAAGTACGTTTAAGTCACTTTCAGTGCTGTCTTAAAATGAAATTTAAATTTCGTTACTTTCTATCACATACCTACCTTTTTGTCTATTAATTTTTGTAAATACTAGGCTCCTTTCACCATAATTCCTACACATTCTTAAATAAATATATCCAAATATTCCATGAAGAATCAAATGGAATGTAGGTACAAAAAAACTATGTCACAATCGGCTCTTCTACACAAATATAGCAACATACTTCATAGCACCAATTATTATACTAAAAATCATATTAAAGACTAGAATGATGAATTTGTCTTATAAAAATATGTTTTCTTGTCATTTACAATTGAATACTTTGTGTTCACTGAATATGGCCTAATTGTCGAGTCAATTTGTGTCTCTCTTTCAATCGTGGAATCCTATCTGCCAATGCGTGTAAAATACTTCCCGGCATCCGCTGATTATTCGATATTAATTCGTTAATACTATTTGCAATCTAAAACAAACATTTGAAGCTCGTAGTTATGGAAATATTGACATTACCTTGGCTTGCAGCTGCTCTGGACCTAGCTCCGGATCGTACGATATGGGTTTTCCGATATGCGTGATCATTTTTACAGGAAATCCACCGTAGAGTGGGGCAAATGGAAACTTTGTTTTTGCGTACAGCTTTAAAAAAAACCTGCGACCAATGGTAATGGCCCTGAACGATTCGCGTAGATTCTCGGTGAACATTGGAATGATTTGCTTTAATAAGTGCGTAAGACAAGCGCAACATATTTTTTGTATTCGACTTACAACTTTAGCATCTATGGCGACTTTTGCGAAACCTAGACGTTTCTTCCACATCAAAGTGTATTGATGGCTGAACTGTGCTTCGTAGACGCCTCCGGGAGCTATGGCTAAGAGATTTCCATCTTTGAGTAAATTGGAGCACGTCTGTATCGTTCCCGGTATAATTTGTAGGCATTCCGATAATATGGAAAAACCTAAAATAATAACCTGACGCAATGAATTGCAACCATAGACAAATTTGAAAGCCTAACTATGCTTCCTAGTACCACATGAGTTAATTAATCCTCGAATTAATTGTGCTGATGCATCCCAAAAATACTTTTTTCCTCACAAAACAACCAATTTTACACCATTGAGAGATTCTAAATACAACATTTCGTTTCGGAGAAATTATGATTAACTTAATTTTTTATAGGGCCTATAAAAAGTACATACTGTGTGTATTGAGTAGTATTTTAATTACAAATACAATACAACCATATACAGCACACAATAAACAAACAATAGTCGGCAAATGTTGGTTTCAACAGGATGGTGCGCCCGCGCACAATGCCCTAACGCAGTGGGAATACCTGCCAATTTCTTGGAAAATGTGCTGGAGGATGTTGACATCGTACCCCATCTTCTTTTAACGCTGCCACCAATGAAGCAAAATAATTTACCTACACTATCTTTCGTGAAGGGAAAGCTTCTGGATCATGTGTGAGAAGTTCCATCAAGAACAAGTAGGGAGCAACGATTCATCGGCATCTCACATGCAGCCTACTCATTTCAAAGCAACGAGACTCAAGTGTTACAATTGCGGACACCCAGGCCACAAGAAGTCAGAGTGCAGACAACTGAAGCAAACCAACAATGTTCAGCAAGAACAAGATGACCACGTCGCGTGCAAGGTGTCGATTTCCACTGATATCGACTCCGGAGCCACGGACCACATGGTCAACGATGTCGAAGTGCTTTCGGAAATGCAAAAACTGCAGGCAACACACTGCATCTCAGGGCAGCGGAAAATAATCTATGAGCGTGCTAAATTTAATTCTCGAAATCAGAAAAAGAGCGAGATCTTTGAACAGCATTTGAGCCACGCATAGGTGCTAATATACCAAGAAGATTATCCGATTCTCTACTTACTCCTTTGTACTCTTGGAAAAAAAAATAGCTGTAGATTATTTTGAATCGACTACTGGAGGAAATGTGACGTAAGCGCCTGCTAGATTAAAAAATGTATGTAGATTGACATATAATCTTGATTAATGTGTATATTGCACACATTACATCTTTGACTGTGATTATCTTAATTATATGCTTTTCCTTAATCTATGTGCATTATTCTACAACACTACTTACCAGGAATTCTAAACAAGAAGTTGTCAGCTACGGTACGTACTAATCTATTTTTCGTTAGAAGAATATGCGACATGAAGTAGTAGAGATCTATGGGAATTGCTCCATGGTAATATACTATAAGCGCAGGATCAGAATCGGGTATATTTTCTAATCCCCGAACTTCATACCCTGCAAATATACAATTTTATGTTATGAGAACCAGGTATACTTCACTCAAAATAAGTTGTGTATGACTCATTTCATGGATCATACACAATTTACTTTGAATTGAACTGTACCATGCCAAATCCGGCCGTGAGCATCCCATATGGCAGCGAGTGTCTTTCGAGCCGCATCCCATCTACTCTCTGAATCGTACGATCTCCTCAACGTGTTCCAATGTAACTTATAAATGTAAACAATTAAAGCATCAATATACAATATAATAGCGATTACTAATGGAAGCAGGAATGTTAGCACAACCGGTGCTAGCAGCCACGTAAGCCATAGGGTGAAGTCTACGTCGATATATTCCACTGAAATAATAAAAATTTGTTTAGATCGTTTCATATTAAAATATAAGCAAAAGTTCTTACTGACATTTACGTCAGATAAAAATCATACATTAACATTTATTGAGACCACTTAAGATAGTATTATTTAGTTTGTACACATTTTTTCCATGAAGCTAAGCTTGTTACCAGCCAGGCTAGACTCTGAGATAAGCGCGCCATGACCTAATGAATCGTTGTTTGAACAAAAAATTCTTTTCAATCCAACAAACAAAAATGTACCTACTGCTTTCAGTTATTTAGGAAATTTTGAACAATTTATTTTAATTTAAAACGCATTTCACAAATAAAAAATCTCTTCTAGCTTGAAAGAATTGTTGAAAGTTCCCATAATGCAACTTGCATTCCCTCTTTGAATTGCAATACTAATTTTCTGTTTTAGGAAATTTTTTATTTTTAGATGCGCAAAACGCTAAAGCCCAAATGTCTACCATACTACAAATTAAACTAACGTAGATTATAATCCACACTTTGGTTCTAATTAAATTTATTGAACTTTTTTATAGTACTAGAATGAGTAGTGCATTAATTGTATACAGGGTGTCCGAAAACTATGGAATATCGATTGTAAATATTCATCTTATTGAAAAATGTTTCAAATAAAACTTATTTGGTATTTAATTTCTCATCACATGGAATTTTTTTTAAACAAAAGCGAAACAGAAAATTTTTTTTAAAATTTTAAGATACCTACATACATTTTTTGACCGTGAAGGTTTCTGATTTAGTAAAACACTTCCCAAAATTTCTATAGGAACGGGAAAATACGGGCTTTTACGTTTTCAAGTTGAAAAAGATAGTGACTTAAAATGAGTACTCCCAAAGCATTGCCCGAAATGGAATTAAGCCAAGAGTGCAATGTTTATGCGCGTACGCAGTCGCGGGCAAAAGTTAGTCGTCAACGAGTGCGTCTAACATGTTGCATTTTTACTAAATAATAATGACGTTATTAAAGAATGTAAATGGTTAAATGCAAAAGAACGGGAAAATTGTAAAAGAATATAATTTGAGTTTACATTAGACTCTCCCTGTATGCAGGTTGAACATTTTGTATAGAAAACTGATACCTACGGTCGCAAATAAATTGGAAATGTATTAATTTTACAAAAAAAATGTATAATGTAATAACACTTTTTGCTTAGAATTAATCTTCTCATCTATGGCGGTGGTCAAACTATAATTAACAAGTTGTACATCAACATATACATGCTGAAAATACATACATTTTGTAACCATCGGGCGCCATAGTTGCGTATCTTTGTATTTATCAATTAACATTTCTATCAAAAATGTAGAAATCTATTTTACCTGAAATTGCTCTAAGTCCGTGCTGTGCACGGCAAATAAACCACCATACATACTGTTTGAGTAATTAACTAAAAAGATTATAAGACCAATTTATTTGATAATCTGCAAAAACCTACGTACACCGAGATTATTAGCTACAATATCAATAATTACACACACAGCTCCTAATTATTAAGAGTAGTAGAAGATCTATTGTACTTTAAATGGCTTGTAACAATATGTCCAGCTGTTAGCGCTGCCATAACCGAAAGTTCTCCAGCCAAGACAGAGGCACAAACAATTCTAGCTAATTTATCGGCATTTTTGCCTGGATTCTCCGGATGAGAACCCTTCACACCTAATAAATCTAAGCAAGCAGCCTGAGCAGCTAATATGGTTCCACCACCCACGGTTCCTATTTCAATTGAAGGCATTGTGCAGGATATATATAAATCGTGACTATCATCTCCCCAGGGTTCCATTAATGTAATGCAATTACTACTGGTCACATTTTGGGCTGGATCTTGCCCGGTCGCGATAAATATTGCGGTAACTATATTGGAGGCGTGAGAATTAAATCCACCTATGCTACCTGCTATAGATGATCCAATTAAATTTTTAGAAATGTTCACATCAACCATTGCAGACGCCGAAGTTTTTAATACTGTAGTAACGGTGTGTGCGGGCACTATCGCTTCACAAACAACAGACTTTCCTCTACCTTCAATCCAGTTGACAGCAGATGGTTTCTTGTCCGTACAAAAGTTGCCACTCAGACTAACAATTTCCATACTGGGAAAGTAGGTTCGCAAGCAATTTAATGACAATTCAGTGCCTTTGGATAGCATATTCATTCCCATGGCATCTCCAGTTGTGGCAACAAACCGGATGAATAAGTACCGACCGGCCATGCGCCCGTACACCTTGGTCAGTCTTGCAAATCTGCTACTAGAATCAAAGCTGGCTTTAATTGTGGCGAAGTTTTCTGTCTTCTCCAACCACATTTTACAGTCATTAGCCTCGACGATCGACGGGAAGCGTACTACCGGTCCTCTTGTCATACCATCAGATACCACGCGGCTTGTTACACCCGTTTCTAATATGGCACGAGTCCCCCGATTAGTACTGGCAACCAAGCATCCTTCGGTGGTTGCCATTGGAACATGAATTAAACAGCCATCTAGTCGTAGGGGGCCTACAATACCGACGGGCACCGGAATGTACCCAATCACATTTTCGCAACATGTACCAAGAACATCTTGGTAGTTGTAGTTTTCGTAGGGTATCTTCTGTAGGGCGGTAGAAAGATTTTTTTGCTCACCAAGAATTTGTCGACGGATTTTTACTCCTCGTTCAGCATCTCCCACTGCCTTCTCAATTTGGTATAGTTGAACATGTTTGTTTTCTACAAGATTAATTACTTCCTTATCTGTTAGATTGGTAGCACTGTTCTCAGAAATATAAATCCTTAGGCATTCTTTTAAAGTGCTCTGCTGTACTTCTTTGCTTTCAGAGATGTTTCTGTCACACATAATGAAAGTAAGCAGTTGATCTCGTTCGAAAAGCACAAACTGTGCAAGTAAAACCAATAAAAAAATTAAAATTAAAAGATAGTCCGTCCGCCACAACAACCACCCGTGGACTGTGTTGAGCAACCCACCACAATTCATCTTGACGACAAGATACTCCTTCAAGGAGTTCCAGTTATTAAAATGTACCAGTAGCAATCCTCCACACATAATCAGTTTAACACGCTGTACAACTGGATTAAACTTCTCCAATTCTAATCCTACAGTAATCCTAACTGTCTTAGTCAAGTATGATAATCCCAGTATTAGTGATAAGCAAGCAGGAAAAAGTGTCATTAATATAACGTAATTCACAGCTATTGCTAATGATGCAGAGTATAAAAGTGGCTCAAGCTTGGTTAATCCGGACAGACCTCCCACGCCAATAATCAGTAGCTCGATGATGGTATCCAACAACATGGACGGCCCTAATAGGGACACACCGGTTGCGATACTGCTAGCCACTTCTTCTCGTGAACCGTTGTTGAAAACAAACTGAGCCAGCTTTCTTGCTCTAGTCGTATCCATTAAAAACAAAAAAATGAGTAGGGCATCTTGTAAATCAACAGCTTCAATTGGGAAATGAATAGTGATCATCCAAGTAAAAATAAATGAGAAAATTGTGAATAAAGAAACTATGGCTGAAATGTGATGTTCCACTTTACACAGTTGTCTAAGTTGGAAGTAACCATGAAGCAGTGTAGCACAGCGTATCAATGTCATTACAATAGCATCTGCGCCATTACGTTCAGTCTCCAGAAACCCAATTTCATCGTGTCGTGGATAATGTTGCTCCAATGTTAGCATGCTTGTCATTAAAGTTAGTACACCTACTATAAGCTCCCAAGGGTGACTTGCACAAAATTCTCCGTGAGTGTAAAACAACTTAGTAGCCATTTTGAGACTGTATGAAACAATCTCAAAATGTAAATATATTACAGACAACACTGTCACATCTAAAACACGGCTAACAGTAACTTATGTCATAATATCAATAAGGCCTAGCACTTTGTCGACCGAACGATATTGCACCCTGAAGCAAAACAACAAAACATACTGGAAAAAGTTCACCCAATACCTACCCACATAATCCTGAATCGCCAGTCGTGCCTTTTCGAGATAATACCACATTTTTTGTACATTTCGGATTCACATACTACAGTTAGTGCAAACTTATATGATCGATAACTACTCCGTTAACATTTCTACTTGCTGTTAATTTGATGAAAGCACAACTCGTAATGTTCTGTAGTTTGAACAATGATTATTTATTATTTTTATTTGTTACTAAAATTTTTATAGGTTTGTTCATGATGACGTTTGTTTTGTTTAGGGATTTTGTTGTCAAAAATGACAAATTGATTTCCCGCCTTGATACAATTGGACGTTGCCAATTTTAAGTTAAGGACGACGACTAGGGAGGGAGGCTTGAAGGAGAGTCATTGATTATACTCTGTAAAATCAATGGAGACGTGAAGAAAACGTAAGCAAAAAAAAAACGCAATGGAGTGGTGAGACGTTTAAGATATGTAAAAAGGCTTGAATAGGTTTGAAGCAGGCATAGAGAAAAGGAGGTGAAAAAGATGTAAACTTTGGCGATGGACGCACCTGGGACTAGAGCCTTTACCCTTAGCTGTGAGGGCAGAAGCTCGGAAGGCTTCCATACGGCTAAATGATTTGGACGAATAGAAGGATCGAGGCAGCCTGGGAGGAAACCTTCAGGTCCGATCCCCTAGCTGGAGAAGAAGAGGGGTGATCCGGCCTGTCTTCCTAAGATCGGAGAGCTATTCTCCTTAACAGGGAGCAGTGAGGCTGAACCCGGATTGCTTAGGAAGAACCCACATTGGGAAGATCACCGGGTCCTCACTGGAGGGTCAACTATATCACCTGCACAACATATTGGGCTTTGTGTGAGAACTCACGTGCAGGTTTTGTGGCAAGGCAGATGAAACTACCGAGCATGTGGTTTGGTCACTGTGGCGCCTTGATCAGCAATGATGACAAACAAGAAGCAAAGATCGTGTAATATGATCTTTGCAAGAAGCGAAGAAAAGGAGAAATGTTTGAAGCAGTCATGCAGAACAACTGACGAGTGAGAGAAATGTGCGAAGCGAAGACGGCTTGAATGAGAATGAATGAATGAAATGTATAGCATCCGGCAAAGGATGATAGCTGTAGGAAGGAAAGGAAACACGAGGGAGGCTTGAACAGGGTGTGAAATATGAGAAATGACGTGACGTGAAGCAGGTGAAATGAGAGGGGGCGCGAAGGACGACTAAAAAAAATGTGTGTGATAGTGATCAAATCAGTTATCACTTTATGTACCCCTTCGAATCATATATCGACGCAATTTGGCAACACTGTAAGTCCAAAACATAACCACAAAAAAGGTCTGGCTAACCAGAAGCCAGTAAAAAATTAAAGTCACTAACCTGAGTAAAAAGAAAGAATTTTGTGTTCTGTTTAAGCAATTTTCTTTTATTATTAAGTGGAACCTGAAGGGTGACTGAGAAGTTTAATATTTTTGTAAGTCTTAAAGAAATTTTATTATACAATATCACTGTAAGCAACTGAGAGTTTGGTCAGATTACTGTCATTTGGTTGTAGTTCTAGGTGTAGTCAATTCTTCTCCTTTACCATTTTATTATATTTCATCGTTTATTTACTTAAATTACCATAATTAATTATCGCCTGTCTCCTTGGGATTCTTAACACTAGTCTTAGTGTCCCGCCTAGTCCTATTTTAAGTGTCATTTCATTCATACGATTGCAGTTTTACTAATCTTTTGTGTGCTAGCATTAACTTTAATGCATCGAACCTAATATTTAAATTATTTATGACATTTGTGCTAATAATTTATAATAAAGATCTCAATTGGTTACGTTTGTACATAATACCTTGCATATTTGTATGAGAATTGTACAGAATCGGTGTGATAGCACGTGTAGGTATGGTACACACTCGCCGTATGGATTCCACAACAACTACACCTGAGTACGGCCTGCGCCATCGTACACGGGTATGTGTATCTGCTATTTCAATGTCTCCTTAATAGTATGCAGTCTGACGTTTAGAATCCTTGTGTTAACCACATCACTCGATCATTTAACCTTTTAATTAATTGTGGATGCATCTAAAATTACCTATCATTTGCATTAGATCTAAAATTGTCTTCTACTTTCCTCATTTTATTTATCATAAAATTTGTTTATTCTCAGAGTTCTGTTCAGTTGGGTGCAGATTTGGAAGGTTCAAATGAAAGCGGCACAGAAAGTGAGGAGGACCACTCATGGAGTTCACCAGATAAAACCAAATCTCTTCCTTGCGTAAGGGAGCTCAAGAGGAGATATCCATGTAAGTTAAACTGTTCTTGTTGTACATTTCAATAGAAACTTCTTTAGCGAAGCGAATCCGAAATCGGGCATTAAAGCAGAGGCACACATTGTCTGTGTACTCGACTCGTAAAATGCATGACACTGATTCTTGTAATGGGAACGAAAGTGAAGATGACATGTATTCCTCTAGGTAAGTAGTTTCTAACACTACAGTGTAAGGAATAGTGAGACCACCGGAGACCACCTTATGGGGAGACAGATTTGTACCAGATTTCGTGACTCAGGAGACAATAACCTGAAAGGGGGGCAGCTGTTGAAAACAATTGCCACCTTACCATGCTTGATCACTTTAGGTGAAGATCTAGTAAATTTTTGGAAATTCAGTACCAAGTATTCGGATTCTGAGGATCTACATAATGCGAAATCGTTTAAAATGTATTATACATGTACCTACACTTTCAAGTGTATGATCGAGGGTGAGCCAGGGTGGGCACCTTGCGTGTGAAATTTTATTTATTTTAAAAAATGGCCCCTAAGTTATTTAACTTATTATTTCCTAGATTTCGTCCACACACATAATTAGCAACTAGTGACAATAACATAGTTTACAAAATTCTGGTGTGTCTTTATCAATGATTCTATCAATAGAGGTAGCACTTCATATTTTTATTATCATACATTTATGCAGTGAATTTATTTTACCTTTTAGGAAAAGCTGTTCAGTACAGGGGGTTCTTAAATCAAACTACTTTGTGTGCTATTTTTTTGTAAATATAAATAAATTCTGTTCTTCTTTATTTTTGTTTTTCAACTTTTCATGTAATGAGTAATTGATAGGCTTCCAGAGTCCGAAAAATTATAAGTAAACAGCTCATTATATATCTACATGTACCGAGGGGAAAATCAAACATCAAATTTTGTACACAAAAAATCCACTTAGTGTGGAAATCCATGGATATCCACCAGAAACCCGTGAGACACCCTTGGATTTCCATAGATATCCTTGGATTCCCATAGTTATCCTTAGATATTCTGGTGATATCTGAAATCAGTCTATATTCGGATTTCCTCCAGATATCTAGAGATGTTGAAGCTACATTGGGAAGTTGGGAATAACCTCAGGAATAACTATCAGTGATATTGCAAAATTCGCAAATATGATTCATTGGAGATTAAATTCTTATTCAATTTGTGGGGCCACCTAACTTACCATTCCAATCCAGCCAATCGTACTAAAATACATTGGAGATCAAGCTGCAGGTTCTCTGTATTTGTACATGTTATCTCAATAACAAATTTCCCTCGGAATTTCATCAGAAAGTAGAATCAATGATTCAAATCTTTTAGGGTAGGTACGAAAAAAATAAATAAACGCAAATACTTCAAAAACGGTCATTGCAAATTTCAACGTAGTATATATTTTTGAAATCAGAAACAAAAGATTTATTCAAAATTTGAAATTTAAAAAGTGTGTTCCATTAAAACTACCAAATTTTCATTTTTTTACTAATTATGCGGAATTCAATTGTTTTTTTACTTTACACATTGTCTGGCGATTGAAAACCCCACCATTTTTGTATATACACTTTTTTCTATCTGTTAATAAACGCGCCACACACTGTCTAAATATGTAGGAAGAAGTAGGTATAACGTTTATGGATTTTGGCGTATTGTTGTAATGTTGGTTGCATACCGTTAATTTGTTTACAACAGTTCGTGTTTCTTGTTTTTCGAGTATAATGCACGCATGCGCACATTAATTGTCAAGATTTTTCTTGGTTGAGGTGCCAGAGCTGTAAGCTATAGAATGCAAAAAGAACACACTAAATATCTTAAAAACTGAGAGTACATGCCACTTCAGATGGAGAAAGTGGCCTTAATAACGCCTTCCATTGGAAAATTCGCTAAAATAGAGTCTTACCTACGTAAAATTGTGCTGTTTGGGTTATATCGCTTATATAAGCTTTTTGTCAACAGATCACAGAATCTGAATTAAAAAGCCAACAATAAAATTTTTATTGAAAAAGTGTCGCAATGTTTTTACGAGTGTTTAATATTTTTTCAGGTTTTTTTTTTAATTTTGTTATATTCTATTTAGTATTTTATATTATACTACTAAATATTGATTATAATTCTTTTGATTGTTAAGGTTTTTTTGCTAATTTTTATTGGGGATTACCATTTAATTTTTTGTAGCTCTGTTATTAGTAAATTAAGGCCAAATTTCTGCCAAAATATGCGAAAATTTGGTATGTTCACGTAAGTTTTCTCTTAATTTACACAATGATGTAAATTTCCTTAGACATTAAACATTAATGACCTGTGATGCCTAAAATAAAAAAAAAAAATAAACATTACAACCTTTTTAGTGCATTTTTTTAAGAATTAAAAAATGTGCTTTTGTTTGCATTTTGTCCGTCCGTTCGTCCGGCAATTTTGATGTTTACTTTTAAGGGAATTGTTCTAGCATTCTAAAAATATCTTAGAATAAATATATAGACGAGACATACCTATTGATGAGATCAAAACGAATATCTCAAAAACAAAGTGTCACAGAGGATACTTATAAAGGGCAAGTGGAACGTCTGGACGAGAGATATCTATTAGCGATGCAATGGTGGATACTTTGAGCAATTATTGTAAATATTTAATTTCATAACTACTTTATTTTTTTTCGTTAATTGAAATAATTTTACTACAGTATGGTGGTGTATGGGTCATTATTAATATTACTGAATGGAAAAAATCATATGATTTGCCGAAGTATTTGCGGACTTAGATTCATTAGGACATTTTCAGACTTAAATTCACCTAAGGAACGTGTAGTAAAATGCCTGTTTTCTCGCAGTACACCCTGTAAGCGTAGGTTTTGAAAGTGTGGATAGCAGTTTTTAATTAATGTTTATGTGTAAAGAGCCCCCTCCCCATTAATTATCTACCAAGAAGGTAAACTTCGATAGCATGCTACTACCTTAACCCAAGTATTTACTGATCTGCTTCTGTTAAAAAAAAATGTTCTTTATCTGCACAAAAGTTGTACACAATTTATACTTGTTTTATTATTATTAATTTTTTTATACAAATTAGGTGAGAACTGTCGTTGCCATTGTTGTTGAATATTTTGACAACCCGACCCTCAACTTTTTTTTGTTTTATCACGATTTATAGTACCAAGAGTTACTTGGAATATATTATATTTTCATCAAACTACAGTGAATATGCTTTTGTATATCCATTTGAATTGATAGGCGCGCATCTTAAATTTGCTGGTTTCCAAAACCATGCGGTGGTTGTCTCACTATTCTATTCTTTACACTGCCAGCATGTATGTTGATTAAATGAGGTACTTGCAGAGCACGTAAGTCGCGTCATTTGCGCCATGCCAGATCAACGCTGTCGCAAATCGAAAAACGAACCGCCCTCTCCTTGCGTCCTTTAGGCAGTAAATGTTATGCAGATCCTCACTCACCAATTACATACAATACAGACGACAGCGCTGCAGAGAAAGATCGTAACGTAATTCCAAATCGCTGCGTCGTAATTTTCTTCATTTTTTTGTAGTACGTCGAAGTACAAGGAAACGAACCATCAAGTACTCGGAAATGTCATGGTTAACGGACAGCCAGATGCCCAAAGTTGGCTATCCGAGTTTTCGAATTGCGTACTCTGAAGAAGACAGTCGTGAGGCTGAGGTTAGTATGTGTTTTTCGACGCGGATTAATAAGCGATGTGTTAATTTAGAATGAAGAGTGTTTAAATACGAAGTCTCACAAGCGAATGTACGAAACCAGACGCACTACGCGTTTGTCAAATGGAGTTGAGGATGGCAAGAAAAGCGCCAAGTACTTATATACGTTTAAAAACACAAGCGCTCAGAATGCGCGCAGTAGACAGCATCGAATCGATAACGAAAAGGCGGCCGATGAGAAGCAAAAAGTTGAAAAAGAGTCCAACGAAAATAAAGAGAATAATGTCACCAATGGCAGATTAAGAGAAGGCAAAGTGAAGGTAGAGCCCGACGAAAAAGAAGATAGTGAAAATGACGATGTGGACGAAGCAAAGGAGGAGGAACAAAAAATTGATGAACATAAGAGTATGAATGGTAAGTATGCAAATTAACAACTGATGCTTGTTGTCTAAACCTCATAATAAGCACATTTTTGCACATAAATTTTCCCGTGTGGGATTTATGGTCTGCTTTATCAGGTTTAGCTCATCATTTCTTCATCATTAATTAGTTCAAATTATATTTTGGTGATACCTACTAAATTTAACAGCAATCATTCATTTTAAATTAACTGTTCGTAGGAGTTGGACAAAGTCGAGCTTTATTTTAATTTTCAGATTCTTTTCGTAATTCGTTCATAAAGTATCATTATCATGCACAGCAAAATCTCTCAAAGGTTATACTTTTTTGTGGTATCGTTGTATGGTGCCAAATTTTGTTGTCCTGTTGTGACAGTTCGAAACTCGGTTCAAAAACATTGTCTGCTATAAATTTTTCGAGCTATCTGTTGATGTAAAAATTTGTATCAATAGAATAGATAATGCAAAAAGTGGGAGACATACATAATAGACGTTTTTTACATTACTGATCAGCCCCAAGTATCTCTGAGTAATCCATCACAACTACCTTTTTCCTCGTGGCCTCTACATCTGAACTTATATCATGGACTAAACTATTCAATTTCTCTAATTGCTTCATCACAGTAAGCTTCACTGATTGATTGGTTGGTGACTCTGGGATCATAGTTAGCATGGTTTCCCGTGATACAGGCTTCTCATCTGTCATGAGGCTGTTGTAACCAGCCCATGTTTGAGAGGTTTCTTGTACCTGGTCAGTATATGGTTTCTTAAGAAACCAGTCGACATCAGCTAGCTTTGGCTCATATAATAAACATAATATAAAATATATATAAATAATAAAATAATATTTAGGTGGTTAATTGGAGTGATTTAAGCCACAGGATAGGTAGGTAGCGAGGTAGGTGGGTTTCTATATGTCATTATAGTTGACAGCGCACTGTCAAACGATTTTACTCGACAGTCATTTGGTGAAGCTAATGATGGTGGTGGTACAAATGTATCAGAATCTTTCATATACAGTGTATATGTATTGATTTGTAGTGAAATATGGCAACGCCACAATCCTGCTTCAAACTGACAGTTTGACAATCAGGATAACACTGCCATCAGCTGTTTATGAATGTCCCCTGTCAAGCTCACAGTGACATACCCCCAGCAAATGCAGTGACAGTTGGTACAAGTCACATGGACACACCCCATCATGAAAACTGGGTACAAAAGGGTGTGCATCGACGTCAGAAATTCAGTCTGCTTCTGTGCTAATAGTGAAGCAACTCTCTCCTAATAGTGTAGGAATCCCATCATCCTCAGCGAATGACATCACCTTCTGCAACAAAGAAGAAGGAATGCAAACATAGGAAGAACACGTTATTTTCAAAAGCATTATGCGGGTCACTCTGTAATTGGGCGCAAGCCTGTTGAGGCCCCAAAACAAGAGAGGGATAATAAATTTAAAATTTCGAGGTTCATCCAAACTGTTATGTTTAAATTGTAACTCTAATTAGTTTTCTTGTTTCATGTTATACTCGTTTGTTCATTGTTATAATAATTAGTGGTTTGATATTGTTAATAAATATCTCAGAATCCCTAAAAGTTTTACAATATTAAATAAAATCTGTATTGAATGAATGTATTTATTTAATAGAGATATTGTTAATTCGTTTTTAAATATATCAGTCCACTAGGATTCCGACCCACTGGACTATTCCTGGTTTCATCCAACCCTGAGAAGGCCTTCCAGGGCATATGCAAATTATATTTTCAGTTTAAGTCGATCTAGGAGATGCATAACTGGAGCTGTTGTTTTATTAGCTACTAAAAAACATTTCATCTGCTAAAATAGCATAGATTTCTGTTTAACATCATTGATTGATTATTAACATACCGACCTCTTGCGAGATTTTGCTGTCCTGTCCATCTAGATAGAAGAACTACCAATTATTTTCTTTAATTATTTAAGATAGTACAGATCGTGATTGTAGCGAAGACGAACAGGACTCGTCGGGTAGTGAAGAAATAAGAAATGTACGAAAGCGTCGAATTATTAATCGTATCGAGTCCCCAAAACGTAGAAATCGTAAACGTTCAGGTAAATTCTTATTATTTTAATTTATATCAACTTTATTTGTTGCCGTTAGATATTTATTCTTCAAAAGCAGAAATAAGAAATATGAGCAGTACCCTGAGTAGTTATATTTTATGTTCTGAATTTGCTAATTTTGAGTTTAGACAATAAAATATCGCTTACCTTTGCATGTAGTGCGCTTTTTTGTCCATGAATACTGTCGTTAAAAAATAATTTAAATTTCTGTTTTTGATGGGGGTTCTGCAACCGTAGTTAATGAAATATCTACAAACTTTAATTAAACTGTGTATGTTCCAGAAACTTCCAGTTCATCTGAGGTAAATAGAGTGTACTCATTAAGGCAGCGTGCTCCGAAACCTTCAAACAAACCAAGTATGTATAGAATTTTTTTATTTACGTATATATTAGTCTGAATACACTTTACCAAAAGACAACTACATATTGCCAACTACCAATTAGAAGTCACTAACAATTTAATCCACCAATTACATAGCACCAACACCTAGACATAATTTTATCAATAATAAAATTATTCTTAAGTTGAGAAAGTTTTTATTTCCATGCTTGTTTATTTACTAAAATCAATGTACCATAGTATTCGACAAAAATTGGGTTAAAACTGATGTCTAAATTACAGAACCATTCAATAAAGTACTTTCAGAAATAGAACAAGCTTTAAGTCCAAGACGAAGAAGATTCGCAAGACGGAAAGCTTCACCTGACTCAAGCTCAAGCTCATCGTCCGACTCTGAAGTAGCTCGCAAATCGAAATATAGATCAAACAAGTAAGTTAATTTAAGGGGTATTTATATGATATTTACTTTGAATTTTGCAAGTATAAGCATATGCTCCCTTTTATTCATATGGGCCATTGGGCTATTAAACCTTTTCTTGGATTATCTTGATTGATTTATATCTTACTACAAAATTTCTTCAATCTTGTTCAAAGTACTCGTCGTTAGCGGCAATATACTTTTCTAATCTCTTCTGCCATTGTTTGAAATATTTTTTAAACTCCTCAACTTACTTTGATGTCTGCAAGTGTTTTCGTTGTTTTTCTCTTCACCTCCTCCACGTCGGCGAAATGCTTTCTCTTGAGGTTTATTCGGACAATGTCACTCGGAGCTATATCGGGTGAATAGGGTGTGGGGGGCGAGGGGGAAAGACAGCCATACCGTTTCTTGGCATGAAAGTGATCACCAAGATGGCGGTGTGAGCTGGGCTTCATGGCCAACAGACATATTTGCATGCTAATCTGTCAGAACTGCACATTTAGGCTTAATCTAAAATAGTCTTTTTTTTAAATCTATTATAGATTTGGTTAAGCAGATTTTTTCCTTTAAACGCACAATACTACATTTAATATCTTATGCGATTTTGTAGCTTACCCCCACTTTTATTACAGCTCAAAGAATCTGCATTCCAAAAATGATCATTTGATAAAATCAGGCGCTGGTTCAAACAAACCACTACCAATTGGCCCAGAAACGATTGACAATAGCGTCAGATTTAGCAGCGTCGGTGGATTAGATTCGCACGTGCAGTGCCTGAAAGAGATGATTTTATTGCCCATGATGTATCCTGAAGTGTTCAAGCAGTTTCAAATTGAACCACCTCGCGGTGTCTTATTCCACGGGCCTCCAGGTAATCAAAGCAGCTTAGTCTATTCAGACAAAAAAACATCACCTTTCTAGGCACGGGAAAAACACTAATTGCGAGAGCTTTAGCTAATGAGTGCAGCTTCGGATCTCGCAAGGTCTCGTTCTTTTTACGTAAAGGTGCAGATTTACTGAGCAAGTGGGTTGGAGAGTCGGAGAGGCAGTTGCGAATGCTATTTGAGCAGGTTTGTATTTTTTTCTCGTGATGCTCGTCTCAAATTTGCTTGTAGGCTCAGGAGATAAAGCCCTCTATAATATTTTTTGACGAATTAGACGGATTAGCTCCAGTGCGTTCTTCTAGACAGGATCAAATACACGCCAGCATTGTCTCCACTCTGCTGGCATTAATGGATGGTTTAGATAATAGGGGTGAGGTAATTGTTATAGGGGCGACGAATCGAATTGATGCCATTGATCCTGCCTTGCGCAGGCCGGGGAGATTCGATCGGGAACTGTTTTTTCCACTTCCTTCCCAACAGGTTTGTATGGATTGGAAAGATAGTATTTATATTTGCTTCATTTAGGAACGGTTGGAAATTTTAAATGTACATGTGTCTCAATGGTCGGATCGTCCGAGCCAGGAGCTTCTGTCTTATTTGGCTGAACAGGCTGTCGGATACTGTGGATCTGATTTGAGAGCTTTGTGCTCGGAAGCCGTCATTCAAAGTTTTCGCAGAACCTATCCTCAAGTGTATGCAGCAGATCACCGTCTACTTTTAGATCCAAAATGTGTTAAGGTAATATCTCGTAATTAATGACATAATTATTTGGGTATCTTTGCAGGTAAACAAAGTAGATTTTTTGAGAGCAAAGTCGCTGTTAGTACCTGCTTCGCATAGAATCTCTAATACTTTAGGAAAGAAATTGCTTCCAGTTTTAGAGCCTATATTAGGTGAATCATTCAAGAATGCCTTAAGCTTTTTGAAGGAATCCTTTCCACATGGTCTAGATCCAGTATTAGCAAAGTAAGGGTTGCTTTGATTAGATAACTAATTTTTACTGATCCCCAACAGGGTAAAACTGTCAGCCGGGTATAGACCTGCGCAGTTATTGTTAGTTGGTGATGGCGGACAGCACGGCCAAACTTCATATTTAGCGCCCGCAATTCTACATCGCATGGAACATATTCACGCTTATGTGCTTGATTTGAATATGTTGTACCGCGAATCGGCGCGTTCGCCCGAAGAGGCCTGCATTCAGGTAGGGGGTAAAGCAACTGCCTGCGTTAGATTAATTTTACTGCATTTAGGTATTCGGGGAAGCAAAAAGAAATATTCCCAGTGTGATATACATTCCAAATATTGACCAGCTATGGAGCTTAGTTCACGAAACTGTCAAGGCCATATTTTTATCATCGCTACAGCATATGGATACCAACATCCCTATTCTTCTGTTGGCTACCGCTGATGTGCAATTTGAAAATTTACCTGAGGAAGTAAGTGGGTTACGCTGCATGGCGAATAATAATTCAATTCTATTTAAGCTTCAGGATGTTTTCTCCCGTTATCGCAAGGAGGTGTATCAATTAAATGCTCCAGATGAGAACGCACGAACTGCATTCTTTAAACCTCTCCTTATTGATGCTTGTATGAAACAAGTTAAGCCCCCTAGGAAAAGAGCAACAACTCCACCGCCTCTTCCAAGAGCACCCACTCCTCCACCGCTTCCATTGACTGGAGATCACGCTAGAAAGTTGTATGAACAAGAAGAGCATACTTTACGAGAGCTTCGAATATTTCTCCGTGACATGTGCAAAAAATTGGCCAATAACAAACTGTGAGCATAACTAGTGGTCCACTTTTTGTCACACATTTTTAATGAATTGATGCATTCCATTTTTTTGTGTCATATCTCTATGCTTAAACTATAATTAAAAAAAAAAGTCCAAACCATGTTTTGCAATTTCAGATTTTTCATGTTTACAAAACCTGTGGATACCGAGGAAGTACCAGATTACACCTCTATCATAAAGCAGCCGATGGACTTAGAAACAATGATGACAAAGCTGGACTTTCATCGCTACGAATGCGCAAAAGACTTTTTAAATGATATAGAGTTAATAGTTCAGAATGCCTTGGAATATAATCCGGCCAAGTGAGCACCGTGGTACGTTGTCAAACCGGGGCTAATTAATTTCTTGTAGGACCTCCGCCGATAAACAAATTCGCCACAGGGCTTGCTCATTACGCGATTACGCTCATGCTTTAATAAAAAACGAAATGGACACCGACTTTGAGGACAAATGCCAAAAGATATCGAAGGAGAGAGTGTCTAGGAAAGCGAGTGTATCTCAGTATTTGCCCGCATATATTATTACCGCTGGTAAATCTGACGGCGGCTGCAATTTGATGTTAAACCAATTCTTTTCAGAAAACAAGGGATTGCGCCCTGTGGAAGCAGACGGTGAACCACAACAAGTAGAAGAATGTCCACCGACAACACCGGTTGAAACACCTGAGAAGCGGAGTTCCCCTGTTATGAGTGGTTCAGTTCGTAAGCGAAAATTTCAAAGTTGTTGGAGAAATGGCTATTTAGCAAAGAAGAGAAAACGAAGGGAAAAGACAAGTGTTGCAAATGATTCAACAGAAGAACAGGTAATATTTGGGTAAATGCAAAGAGCTGCAATGGTGGTGTTTCAGAATGATACACTCAAAGAGAAGGATACTTCTCCGATGTCAACCATGGATGACAGCTCCATTACTTTTGGTAGTCAACCAGACAACAGAAGAAGCTCCGTTACCACTCCTCTAACTGTCAACTGTGGCAATGCAAAAGCCCTTGAGTATGCAATTTTCAAATTTTACCTTTGGTATAATTAAAACATTTTAGATCTCCCACTTGCAGGCGGGTGATGAATACCTCATTATTAAGTCCATCTGAACTTTTGGATGATCATTTAGATTTTGATGATATTGATAAAGCATTGTATGAATGTGGTAAGTTGAAACGTAGATCGTGTTTAAAGGAGCTTAGACTGTGTATCTAGTAAGGGAAGAAAATTGTACAGAGAATTTGAAGATAGATGTAAGCAAGCACGCATTAGAGGACATTTTGGAGGAAGTGGTCGAGTTGACTGTCGACAAGCCCCTTCGATCTTTATTAGACCTTCATAGTAATTTAAGCAGAATACTTAGAAGATATTCAAGGACCACCGACAGAGAATCATTACCAAAGGTAGTATTCCCGAGTGGGTCTAACAGGTGCACTTATAATCTTTTTTTAGGACTTACGGGTAGAATTAGAGAGGTACCGAAATGAGTTGAGTTATAGCGAATTACCTCCGGAGTAATGTGTTCATTATCACTGCCTCTGCTAAGCTAATTCTATTTATCACTACTTAAAATTGTACATTTTTTTAATTGATAAATTTTTTTATTTATAAAATTGAATTTCACTCTTTATAGTTGTTTATTCTCATACCATCAAGTTAGATATTAACGTGTATATCTCAATTGATTAATTAAATGTTGAAGACATTATTATTATATTAATATAGATCGGGTGTTCGAACCTGGGTTGAGGTGAATTGTTCATCTGTGGCAGAGATGGGAATTACCTTAGGCCAATTTCGAGCATTCTGCCGGATACTCCAAATTAGGTTTTCCTGCAGTTCTCCTAGTTCATAATTACCAGAGTAGTATAGAACAACTTAAAACCTTAGCATTATACGGGTCACTCTGTAATTGGGCGCAAGCCTGTTGAGGACCCAGAACAAAAGAGGAATAATAAATAAATAAATCTCCCAAGAATTGGTCTGTACTTAAGGAAAGGTTATGTAACGGATTATTTATGTGCACAAGGGAAAATAACGGCATAAATATTCTTATACATAAGAAACTTAGCATTGCACAATCTGCGCATGCGTACACCTGATATTTAACATGTGATATCGTCACTAGAAGAATCTAGTTAAAATTTAAAAGAAATGTCTCCATAAATACAAAAGTTGACATTGCGCATACGCACATCTGATGTTTACGATATGCTTGTATTGTATGCTCTGTGTGTCGACGTTAAACTAGGACATAAAGTGAATGGAAAAGTTTGCTGGAAATTTGGGGTCCATAAGTAACCTTTTTTGGGGCCCGGACATTGAAATTAGCCAAAAATCGCAAATTGGAGGTAGTTGGATGAGAATAATAAATTGTGACCTAGCGAAAACGTAGTGCTTTTTACGTGTTCGGGTTTGGGCTTGCGTTTCAAATACGATTTAAAGTGCTAAAGGCAAAAATTTAAAATACCCCACTCTCAAAAATGTGATTTACCTGGTGTTAGCCGAAGACGCTTGTAGTTCATGTTAAGAAATAAAAAAATGTAAACAATAATATATTGATTTCATTACACGTTTTTATAAAGTCTAAAGTAATTGGTTAAGAAATTGTGTAAAATTCAGACATCAGTCATTAGGTATGCGATTCATAGTATGAAATGAAACGATATTACACTCGCATGTCACACGTGACGTGTGCAAAAGACAACTTTCTTATTTGAGGAGCAATTTGTTCCAAATTTTTATGGTAGGTTTCTCTTATGAAGGAAAACAAAATGGGCGTTCTTCAGTGCCAAAAATCATTGCGCCGAATATATATTACACCACACTCCAAAAGTGAAGACACAAAGGTAAAATACTCCATTTTTGGCGGTATTTGTGCAAAATATAGTACAATAGTCTTATATAATATGCATCATTCTTATCAAATAAGTACAACGAGATTGAGGCTATCAATAAATTGGAGCTGAAAAAAATATATGCATGTATGAGAGAATTACATATAGTTTCTTGAGCATTTAAAGGTGATAATCAGACGTGGAAAAGAAGCTGGAAGATCTCCCGAAAGGCCGCTTAAACTGGATGTCATAGCTCCGCTGCTGTTCGCCGTTTTGTTAAAAAAATTACTTTGACAGCAACAGGCGATACACCAGTAGGTATCCCTATAACTTTAAAACAAGGCGCATTTGGTCTCTTTTTAGCGAATTTCCACAAAAATTAAGAACAAATGCGCTATTGTGGTCACTTTGTCCATCCGTCCGATCGCTACTAGATCTTTACCTTAAAAGAGCTATTGTTCTATTGTTTTCGATATTTGGTTGGTTATGGTCTCGAGACTTGCACCAAGGAAGGAATTTTTTCTGTGCTGCTTAAGAAAAAGGTTATGGTAAAAAACTGTTTTTCATGAACTACCATTTTACACTTTTGTCGTTTATATATGTTTATAATGGTGTATTGCTGTCTGCCAAAAATCGACTGCACCAAAATTTCTCGTGAAAACACTTTTTGTTATTAATTTTTGTGCGTAGAATCCAAAACAATTCGTACTTTTTCGATCAGACTTCTCAATCAAAAGTTATAGACTAGAAACCAATTTCGAAAGAAAATTCAAAGGGCTGTAACTTTTTAACTAGTAGCCCAATCTTGGAACTGTTTGAAATTATGGATTCTACAGGCCACATTCTATAAGAAAATTTTTTTTTCAGGTCGATCTGAGACAATTTATTTTTCGGGGCTCAAAAAAAGGCAGTGTATAACCTTCCTTTTTTACCAAAAATCGACTACACCAAAATTTCTCGGGAAAACACTTTATCTTATTAATTTTGGTGCGTAGAATCCAAAACAAGTATGGACTCTCGATCGATCTCGATCTCAGACAATTTTTTTTTCCGGCCTCAAAAAAAGGCAGTACTTTTAAGTTATTCAAATATTTGAGAACAATTTAGAAATGTTTAGGGAAAGTTTCCATTGTCACAAAATCAAATATAAAAATCCGATACATCTGAATACCGAACTCGATAGTCTACGTAACTTAAAAACACTAGGGACCTTCTTATATCCTTAAGACCTTGTGTACCAATTTTCAAAGCGATCGCACGTTTCTAAACAAGTTATCATGCACACGGACAAACGGATGGTCAAAAATGGATCTGTTCCAAAATCGCTAGGATTAATTTCAGAAAGGCGTACGTATCATGTGCGCGACGTACGATCGCTTTGAAAACTGGTACACGTATTCTTAAGGCTATAACTGGTATAAGAAAGGTCCTGGTAGGTACCTCCTATAGGTATAATAATATAATAATAATAATACGCTTTTACTCCCCTTAAATTTGTATATAACAATAGAAATATAAAAAAAGCTAACCCCATACAAAGTATAACTTGATTTTTTGAGTAGTATTAAGACTTTTATCTAGTATACTATTTTAAATTTTTAATGTATTTGAGTGACAAGTATTTGATTACTTTTTACTGTATTCGAATACTTTTTATAGTATTCGAATACCTTTGGTAGTATTAGAATACTTTTGAAAGTATTCGAATACATTCTAAAGTATTTGAATACTTATTTTTTTAAGTATTTGAATACTTTTCAATGTATCTGTATCTAGTATTCGCTTGTGCTGGGACGTAAAAGTATTTAGTATTCAAATACCTTTGATTTGTGTAAAGTATTTACTATTTAGTATTCAAAATACTTTTTGAAAGTATTCTGCCCAGCTCTGCTTAAATGTAAGGGAAAACCGCAGTTTTAAGGTCGAAAGTTGTTTAATACAATTCTTACGGCTTGTTAAAATGAATAGGTAGTGCGGTCGGGCCGCCATTGTTGGAGTGTCCAACAACCTCCAGAGTCCAGGAAGCCCTAAATTCGAATGACTCCGCTACGCTTACTGCCACAGTCCAGTACCTTAAAGCGACAAACCTAATTAATAAACTGTAAATAATTAAAATAATAATCTAGTTTTAAGGTGCTAAAAACAAAGGTTGATGTACCTCCAAATAAATTGTCAATAAAAAAAAACTCCCGCGGTATATAGTATACTATTTCCAGAAATCGTTATGAAATAATTATAAATTATTGACACGTTATTATTTGCTTTATTACTAGGTAGGTACCTATAACAAGGTTTATATGATTTGAAATTTTATATTAAAAAAACATGATTTTGGGAAATCGTTAAGTATTTACTTACATAAAGGCAGAAAACGAAGTACGAGGGCCCTTTGCGGTAATTCCCGAGTTAAGTAGTGTCATTTTACTGACGAGTTTTGTATTACATTTTTCCAAAAATCGCATTTTGAATATAGCATTTCAATTTTTATATACCTACCTACTTACTTAGAACTTTTTTGACAGGAGTCTGGTATAAATGTGATATAGGGGACAGGAAAAGTTGTCAGGTAATAAAGTGTTAGTGCCTCTGTCATGGAAACGAAACTTTCCTGACAAAGTGTGCATGAAAATGAAAGTTTCATAACGATTTTGGGTAAATTGTACTACTACAAAACTATAAATTAGTCCGACTTTTACCTATAGGTATATTATACATTACTATTTAATATGTAATAGGTATAATATGTAGGTACCTAATGATCTGATTTAAGGTATGAATTTCAATTTCATCTTGCCATCCCTTCGAAACAGAATGGCCTTCATTTATCCCGTCTCATCTAAGTAATACCACAGATTAACTAGTAGTTAATACCCTACATTTTGCGGGTCTTTTCTCTTCTCTGTTTCATTTTTCGAAGATACTTCTTCTACTTCCGGGCTTTCCATTAACGTTCCATTAATTCATGCAATTGGTAGGCATATTACTTAAAACGAGTTCTACGGAAATTTTTGCAATTTTTGGAATTTCATTAGCAAAATAAAATGCATGAATCTTTCGTCGAATCGCAGTTTTAACATTTCCATTAATTTCCAGTTGCCGACTCCCAGATTTTGGAATAGGATCCATGACGAGTCCTATCTTCCTTTCTTAAATTAAAATTGATCTCCTTCAGGTGTACCTACCTAGGTACTTACTTTGTACCTATACATCTCTACAACACGTATCTCTACAAGGCTGGTGTAGTAATAATGCCTTGAAAATGTTTAATATAAGTAGTGATTTTTTCATTGACTGAGAACCCGTTTTTCTGGAGAAAAAATTGTCATGATGCCGTTACGGATTATGCAATTTGCCCATCCATACTTGGTGTCAACCAGTTCTTTGGGATTTCTTTGTTTTTCTTCAATTTTATTAAAGTTCATCCAACCGTAAATCGCAAATTTTCGAACCAATCACATCCAAGCGCGGGAGATAGCGCTGAGGTGATTGCTTAACAATTTTGCCACTTTACAAACAAAATCGCATAATATCCCAAACCAACAATCGCACTTCTTGGCCGAGGTTCGCAAACTCGGTTTATTTTTAGCGTAAATGTGCGAAGAAAAGGTGACCAAGGTTGCGAAGTGACTGCAACTTCATATACCTACTTATTCAAATTAATGCAGTATTAAAACGCATTTGTATGGAATCTAGCGAGGAAAGTTTACCTATAAATAATTCAGGTCAGTGCCGAAGGCCATTTGCAGTAATAAAGGTAATGTTTGTTGGTGTATGCGCGTGTGGATTGCTCATAATTATATCATTGAATTTATAACTATAAATTCAATGATTATATCTCCAATAGCGATTATAAATAATTATGTGCATACAATGTGATGTCAAACGAAACAAAAAATAAAACAAGGTATGGTTTTGGACATCGTCTAAATATTTTGAGGTGGCTAGCTGAGGTGCATTTGTCTCAAAGAATTGCATAAAAATTGAAGTGCCACTCTAAAAATATCAGAAAGTCATGTGTGTGGGAGAGAAAGGTAGTAAGTATATGTACCTATGAAAATTATTCTATTCAAAGTTCGTGTGAAATCGTACAGTATGTTTATGAAACCATGGTTATCCACACAATTATCCAGTTGAAGGTTAGCTTAGGCCTTACCACTGCACTAATTTGCATATAATTATGCTATAATTTCTACGAATATGTACTTATATAAAGGCATTTCATTGTACAAACCCATAGCGGCCATAGCACTGAATACTCTTTATTTTTAGTGGAAAAGCATTAAATACCAAGATTTCTTCTTACCAAAATACGCGAGGAGGTACCCGTTTCAAGAAACATCATGGGATATGTAAACTGCCAATGTCTCATCATGTTCATGTGTTTGCCAATATTTGTGGTGAGCCTTCTTCCATTTATGATAGCTGTTTTGGTATACCAAAGTGTGTTGATTCTAACTGGTTACGTGATATACTGCAAAATATTGCAAAACCCATATGATCTCCATACTACTTCAAATGTTGCATCCAGAGCGCATAGGTTCACATGGTACCTACATGGGTGGATATGGAATGGTTTGTATACTCAAATTTAATTTTTTGCACCACAACTGATAATGTTTTAGGCTATGAAGTGCAAGGCTTGGAAAACATACCCGATTCTGGACCTGCTTTAATCATTTTTTATCACGGAGCATTACCTGTAGACATCTACTATTTAATAGCGCACCTTTTCTTTCACAAAGACAGGGTGCTACAGGCGGTTGCGGATTACTTCCTTTTTAAGGTACCAGGTCTGTTTATCCAATGTATCTTTTCCAACATTGGACTCACCTTTGTATTTGCTACCAATACTGTATGCCTATAAAATAACTTTAGGTTTGAAGATTTTATTGGAATCCATAGGTGTAATACCGGGATCACAGGAAACTTGCACAAAAACTCTCAAAGACGGAAATTTGTTGGCCATATCCCCCGGAGGTGTTTACGAATCCCAATTTAGCCATCGGTACAATTTACTCTGGAAAAATCGAGTGGGTTTCGCGAAGGTTGCCATTGATGCCAAAGTGGTAAGTGGCCCACATAACAATATGGGCAGTTAAAGTATATGGCAATTCTTTTAAAGCCAATAATTCCTGTATTCACGGAAAATCTGCGTGAAGCGTATAGGACATTAAGTACGGGAAAATCATTGTTTGAAAAGATCTACAACGCAACTAAATTTCCATTTACCCCGATTTATGGTGGCTTTCCGGTAAAATTAATTACTCATATTGGAAAGCCAATACCGTACGACCCGGAATTATCTCCAGAGCAGCTAAAAACAAAGGTAATCGGCGAATTTATGCCTTTGGTATCATTGCATTTTTTAGGTGGCAAACGCTATTGAAGAATTAATAGCAAAACATCAGCGAAGACCTCCGAGCATTTTGCGAGCTGTGATGGACAGAATTCCCGCATTTAGAGTCGAACACAAAGATCATATAGTCAGTAAGGAATCATGATTAAAAGATAAAAAGTGGTGCAATCTTAATATACTATTGGTAAATTTTGTATTCTTACTTTTTGGATACTTTTACCCGAGCTATTTTATTAGGAAGTGTGTTAGGGGTGACAATTGTAAATATTTTTCTACTACAATACAAATAAACATTCATTTTAAACATTTTTTTCTTAATGAAACAACGTTGTCAGTCCCTCATATTTTCATTAATAGTTTCGCTAATTTTTTTGCTCGTTATTAATGAACATTTTCGTATAGGTACCTCTTGTGTTATCTGCAGCTATTTACTAAGGGTAAAACACAAAAAATGAATAGTTCGTAGGGACTCTTATTAATGGATGCGTTTCGGTAGCAAAACCGTCATCATCGGTGAAGCAAATATCACTAACGCCTTATTGCACTTGCTCTTATACATGTTACCACTTGAAACTTATTAACTTAACATAAGAGAAATTACTTTCTCTACGATGATTTTGAAGTATATAAGAATTGAGCGACATTGGATTTAAACTCAACGCTTTTATTGTATATGAAAAAAGGAAAAAGGCCAACGTGTTTCATTCCTCCGGCACCCCCGACTACAGGGATACCGAAGGCGGGCTGCTCAGGGCTTCCTAGCCCTCTTCAGCCAGAGAACGGGATTGTAAGGATGGCTAAAGTTAGGGATGGGAACGGAAGGAACGGAGTTAGGGTGCTGAGAGGGAGAGTACTGCTCCAGCATTCGCCTCGTAGATTTCAACATAATGCTAGCATTATGCGAAGCTACGTATGTCTGATGAGGAAAACCCCCTGACAAAACCCTAGACAGAGCAGTCGGCAGCGGGATTCGAACCCGCGACCTACCGAATAGCATCGGTGAGCGCAACCACTGCGCCATGCGCCTCGGTTATTTTATATGAGCTAGATGTCCTCTGAACCCTACTTTAGGTAGAAGGGGGACCTTTCCTGCTCCGCTTGTCTTATGGCATTCTTGAATTTGAGGCACGACATCGTCCAAGAAGAGTGGTCGTTTGTGTCACATACGTAACATCTTTTTTCATTTTGGCACTTATCCCTGAGGTGCCCCGCTTCCTCTTCTGTATCTCTCCCAGCACTTCCTGAATGTTGTTATTTCCGCCCTTTTGTTCAGTGTGCAGGGGGAACGTGTCTAGTTTTGGCGCTGTCGTTTTATCCGCATAGATCGTCGCTGTTCTTCTGTGTCCTTTCGCCGCCTTCATGGGTTTAATGTCGACCTTGTCGTAGCCCTCTTCAGAACTCCAAGCACCGCCTCCTCCACGTTTTTGTCCTGCATGAGCTGATCTATATTTATGAGCTGAGGTGGACGACCTCTCACTTACCACCGTCCCCATAACGGACGGTTGGCCTCCACCATTTCCCTACGTATCATGTCTCTTGTCTCATGTCGGTCTTATCCTCGTTCAGTGTTATCCTCAAATGCCCGTTTTTGGTTTTCCGGATGACTTTAACTGCCTGCAATGGCGCCCCTTCTAATGCCTCTTTCGCGCGTTTTAGTAGTTCTGCGTATGTCCTGCCCTCTGCTTGGTACTTGGTACGCCGGCGTCTCCCTTTGGGGAAAATAGCTTAACTGTCTATCCCGTTGTTTTTCACGGATAGTTATTTACATATGAGTATGGTAAATCAAGGTTTACGTTAACGAGTGAGATGTTTACTGCCGAAGCGTAGCTGGGGCAGGAATTTCGAAACGAGTAACGTAAACTGATTTGACATACAAATAATGTAAAACATTTTATTTCATACTGCTCTATTTCTATTAAAATACCATTTTGATTAGATTGTTGTAGGTACACATTAAAATAAAAGCAAAAGTCGATCACTTGATTTGTTTGATCTGACAGTAGTTTGACAAATATCAATATCAATCAATCAATCAAATATCACGTTTAGATGGATGTCAGTTGCGGTTGCTAGGCAAAATTTCCAGTCTGGTAAAAATTTTCAGTCTGGTAAAATACGATTATTTCATACTGTCCGGTAGATGTTCGATTACACTATCATTTTGAGTCCGGTAGGTGAGCTATTACAGCATCAGAGCCGGTAAGTGTCGCTAAGCAACACTTACCGGATTGTTATTTGTATACATCAAATTTGACATCTACACACAATTAATTAAAAACCCCAACATAAATTTGGCTGTAATTCTTTATTTCAAACATCAAACAATTTGTACCTATTGCCCTCAACACTAACGCCTGGGTTATTACTGGATGTCGAGTTAGTAATGTTTGATTCCTTCTGCTGTAGAACTTCAATGAAATTTTCGCCGCCTTGCATCAGTTGTATCATACGGGCAATCTTAACTTTTCCTTCTACCGAGTCTTCGATGTATTTTTCTGCCGTCGATGAGTTTTTCCATGCCCCATGACGCTTTAACACCGAAACCCAGGCAAAAAATCTCAATTCAAAAACTTACTGCATCCAAACAGTATGCCAACATGACGTTTTCCTCTATACTTGTTTCGCCCCATGTTCGTTCCTCAATTGGCAAAACACTTAGTACTCTTTTTCATACCTTGCGGCCGACTTCTTAGGAACTAACTTTTCGGTTGCTTCATGAGATTTCGACAGGAGTGTATCGGGAACAGTGGAACATCCCACAACGTTTATAGCGTCTATTTTTCACTTATAATTGCACAAGAGGTTTGAATTTTACCGAGTAAATTTGGGTTGTTAAGGTAATGAAAATCTGTTGCCTAGCAATTAGACGAGAAAAACTGTCAACTAATAAAAATGCGACACCGAAGGTGGAGCATTTTTAGGTTGACAGTTTTTCGAGTTCAATTGCTAAATGGAAACATATTTGAATTGCAACAACCCAAATTTACTCGGTTTAAATACAAACCTCGAGTGTAATTCGGCAGGACAATTTAACGAACAAGAAATTCACCAAACTAGTCAATTATTGACAGACGTCAAGCTAATCATATGGGAAAGGATAATGCGATAATTGTTCCAAAATGAATAAGTGAAAAAACCACTAGTGCATTTGTCGCTGGAAAAGTTGCAGGTAACTTTTGCCGCTGTCAAAGTGACAATTACACTGCGGCTTATGTGATTTTTTATACATGAGTTGAATTGTCAGTGAAAAAAATTCAATGTCAACAAACTAGAAACTATAGCAACGGCCGTTGCCACAGAAACAAGGTAATGCAATTTTTACAATATAATGAAATTTTGTAATCTTTGAAATGAAATAATGATACAAAATAGACTTACAGTATGAAATAAAATACGTTACGATATACGTCCGGTAGTACTTGTAACAGTACTCGTTTAAGACATTCTTGACTCGGCTCCTGACGTCGCCTCGCCCATAATGTCTAACTCGTACTGTTACAAGTAACCTACCGGACTTATAACGTAAATAACTATTTACCAGACTCAAATCAGTCTGGGAAAGCGGCGATTACTAGATAGTATGAAATAAAATTTTTTACCTGACCTTTTACTTTTCCTTTCGGTGGTCCCTCCAGGTGCTGTGCCGCTTATTTTCTCATCTGCATCTTCATTTTCCTCGTCTTCTTCCGTAATAACGGCCTCGAGTTTCTTGAATGTCAGCATTCCTCCTTCCTGGTTTTCTCCTCCTGTTCAGTGCATATAACCACAAACTCGCTGCCGCTCCACCTCTCTCTCGTTCAGTATCTCGGCCACAGAGCAGGCTTCATCATTCAAGGACCTTCTACTACTTAGCATTTATTTTGTATTCGGAGGAAGTAAAATTGGTATTTTAAAGGTTCCGTGGATTTAGATTTCAATTTATGATACTCAATCCACTACCTACATATTTCTTAAAAGTAAGGAAAGCCTGAATTAATCCCATAATGTAAATTAGATACATCAAAACATTGTTCTAATACTTAACTGGGGGAGTTTATTTTTGAACTAGTTCATAATTCAATTTTTGCAATTTCCCCATTGTATTAATATTTAGAATACGTAAATCTTTAGATCAAATTACAATCCTAAATAAATAAGGATTGCCAGTTTGCCACAGCAATAAACGGAATCCCAGAATTAAATATGTACCTACATTACAGTAAAAATGACGCTGAATTCTTTTCTTCCTGAACTTGTTAAATTTTGTTTGGTGCTAAGCTTATTCTATACACAAATCTTCTCAAAAATGCACTACTTTCTCAACCCCAAAATGGAATCATGTGAGCCCATTTTTTTGAAATTATGCCAAAAGAAAACCAGTTATTGCAGTGTTTTCTGGGAATACTAATATATGCAGAAGCTTCTAGGACAGTGCGATCATTCTTTACACGATATTTACAAAATTTTTGTTCACGATAATTCCCCAAGGAAATTGATAATTTATACGGAAGATGTCATCCCCTAAGATGTACACTTGACCTCAGAACGGGCGAGTCTCCTCCACCCTCGATTCCATCGATTTGTTAGTATGTATCAATGAATGCCCGGAAACGTTATAGTCGGAAAATTCAATCGTTTATGGAACGAGCAGGATATATTTAATTTTTTAAAAGAAAGTATATGATTTTTGTCTAATCATTATGTTACGTTGTCTTATACTAATTGGTTTTTCCTTCAATCTGTAAATATTATTCAAGGCCACAAAATTTCAATTTAGCATGGTTTTATTCTGTAATTAGATGTGTACCTACATAAGTTGGTAGGACGACAGTCATAGCATTGCGTACCTAATACTTATTTATGTATACATATGACAAATTAGTACTCGCGTAAAATAATGAGGGCAGTTCTGATCATAGACCTTAAATGTACTTTTGGATCAGCAGTATAAACAGAAATTCGACAAATAATCCCAAATGCAATACTAAAGTTGGCATGAAAAATTGTTTTAACAGTACGATTCTCTCTTAGTTTACAAATGAATTTAGTACCACTTATCTGCACCGGTGCAGTCTTTCTGAAAAAATACGATCCGTCGCTCCAGTGGACTCTGGTCTTCTCCACTGCACATTGTCCCTAAAAACCAGATGGTTGAAGACATTGTGGCGATTACCGGGCTCTTAACACCAGAACAGTTCTGGACAGATATCCAGTAAGGCACATTCACGTCTTTGCGTATTCTGCATCGTCCATTTTGATGTACACAGATTCCTGTCAACGCGGAAGATATTCAAAAAACTGCTATAAGCCCACCTTTTGGCTTGTTTGAACAGACCGAGTTAATGCCCTCAGAAATTTCCCTCGACCGTCTGATGCGAAAGCCCTACGTAGTTATTTCTGAGCATGATAAATTTTTATCGACGATTTTTACAATATGCGGCACAGTATCAAGGTCCTCTTCGTGCTGCATTATCTAAAGTTTGAGGAAATCAACCTGTGAATTGGACACCGGACTTGGACCTAGCTTTTGAAGCTTGCAAAGACAATCTGGCACAAGCTACGCTTCTGCGCATTCAGATCAGAACGCGCACAACACTCTCAAAGATCAAGACAGTCCAGGATGTTCAGAAACTTCGGAATCCTTCCAGCTTTTAGTTCAGTTTAGTCCATCCACGGCTAATGAAGGAGAATGGGCTTTATTTTCGTCTTAAATTATGTTTTTAAATCCCCGAAATGACTTTCTCCATTTCCTACAATTATCGTTTCTTTGGGTGTTAATCCACCCCAACATTACAGAATGCGAGACCACATTAATTTTGATAATCAAATTCTTATCGTTCATTGGGTTAATTATATGGTGAATTTTTATTACAAAAGAGTTATGATTGAACCGATTTGTTGACAGCGATATGCACATGCGTCCAATTCAGAAGCTCAATCCAATAATCGCATGGCGGAAGAAACTGAATCCGATTCGTGACTTTCGACTAATTGAAAAACTTTAGTGGAACCAAAACTCAAAGAAGCTTATGAGGAATGAATCATGATCTTCCTATTTTTATTCGCTGAAGTGATTTTGCAGTGTTGCTCTGGCGAATCAGGTTGGAGTTGGAACTAAATTATCAGAGGCATACCTTGCTGGGATCACAGAGAACCAATTGAAGATCTTAGAGAGGGGTCAGTGTCATTGCACAAGTTTTAGATACTAGCATTCAGATAAATAAAAGCGTGTGTTTAAATCAACTTTTTGATTTATTATAATACCACACTGAATTTTGGGTAACTAACTTCAACAAAACGTGGTACAAGACGGTATTTTACAGCAATGGTCAGTACCTGATTATGTATTCTTGAATCAATGTTTCTACTCTAAAAATAAACAGAACGTAATACCCAATCAATAACGAACGAGATAATTTTACAGTAAGGAGCTAGCCGAAAATAAAAATTGTATTCTTGAAGAGAACAAGGAAAAATTTAACATGATTCGTGTTTTCATAATTCAGTTTCCAAGTGACTACAATGAAAAATAAAATCAAAATCTCATTGCAATCTTCTCCATATTTTCCTTCCATCCTTCAAACAGATTAAAATTAAAGAAGACTTTCAACATTAAAAGTTAACGACAACAAATTACTGACGTGATAAACCTAATTGCATACCTGCGTTAATAACGTACTACCGAATGTTATTCTGGAAACAGGTTTAATTTCCCAATTATCATTTGTTGTTAGAAAAAGCGGAATCATAATAGGATTTTTTTTAGCCAAATCGATTTATTAAAAGTTCGGTCGGTAGTGCGGAACGTTTACTATTGAAATTAATTGATTGTGATTAGTCGTCTTAAATAGTAAGTTTGTAAACAACGTTAATTGAAGGTTGTAATTAATTTATGTTACAGTGGAATACGCAAGTACTACAGGGCTGTTCATATGGGTGCTATGGCCGTTTCTTCTCCCTGTAACTATCCTAATACTTTTGTACATATGTGCATTACTTGCATATTTTTGCAAGATATATTGCCTAATCTTGCGAAAATTGAATAAGAGCAAAGGCGGATGGGACAGCGCTGCTCGAACCATGATTTCTGGATTATGGTATCTTCATGGGAAAATTTGGCATGGTTGGTACAGCTACTGGTAAGCGTGGCGTAACTGTTATTATTTTTTTAGGGTACGAAGTTCGTGGATTGCATAATGTACCTGATAGTGGGCCCTCATTGTTTATATTTTATCACGGGGCAGTGCCAACAGATATGTACTACTTCTATACACACGTTTATTTTCACAAGAATAGGATATTGAATGCTGTTGCAGATCGTTTTATGTTTAAACTGCCAGGTAACGCAACCTCATCTTGGAAAATTCCATTAGCTCAAAACCGTTGAAGGCTTTCCAATTCTGATGGAGTGCTTGAAGGCAACCACGGGCACGAAACAAACATGCATCAATCTTCTCAAAGACGGGAATATTCTGGCATTATCGCCTGGAGGTGTCTACGAATCCCAATTTAGTCACAATTACAACTTAATGTGGAAAAACCGCATAGGATTCGCTAAAGTGGCAATCGACGCCAAAGTTGTAAGTCCTAGCAATCCAAAATACTTCCAATACTCACCCGCAAATTTCTCTTCAAAGCCAATTATACCAATCTTCACTGAAAACGTACGAGAAGCATTTCGGTCGGTAAGCTTTGCACAACGCTTATTTTTGAAGCTATACACTTGGACCAAATTACCGGTTGCACCAGTCTATGGAGCGTTCCCTGTCAAAATGATTACCCACGTTGGTAAACCGATAGCTTACGACCCCGAGTTAACACCGGAAGAATTACAAGTCAAGGTGGGTGATTCAGTGAGTAACTTAAATCACGTTTGTGAATGTTTAGGTGGCTGACGCCATTAATCACCTAATCAGCGAGAATCAGCGATTACCTGGAAGTATTTTACATGCGTTAATCGATAGAATTTCCTCACTTAAGGAACGTCATAAACTAAACCAACATACACTTAGAAAACAAAAATAAGGGATGTAATGTAATTTTAAGTGTAATTGATTTAGTTAATAAATTATAGTTTTCAAAGTGAGGTAGGCTGCCACCTATCGGTTTGGTTACAACTTCTTTAAAATCAATGATAGCATTAGAATTATTGAGCTGTTAAAATAGTAAGGTATCAATGCAATCAGTTTTGCTGAAATTATGGTAAAAGTTCGTAACCTTAAGAAGAAGGAGAACTTCGGGCAAGGAAGGAATTTTTTTAACCTATCTATCCTTAATACGAGATCTAATGGATAAGAGCATATTTACTCTATGATAAGAGTCAATTTTGAGTTCTAGAAGATTATATGGAAATTTTAACGATATAGAAGAGAATTCCACTTAAATAAACATGAAATGTTGGGAAATTTTAAGGAAATGTCGATATCTAGGAACTTTTAAACTTTTTGTTCATTTAAATACATCGCACACGAACGAAAATAAAAATACGGAAGCCAAAGCAATAATATTCCAATTAATTAGTTGACAGGCAGATCCTCATTTATTTTAAGAAGCTATTTTGGTTACATAAAATCAGGCGCCCTTCAGAAGAGTTTTTGTCATTTAAAAGTAGACACAGGGAAAGCAATACGCACAAATCTCTGTGTCTACTTCTAAATGAATATCGCTGTAGACATCCTGCCATACCAACTATAAAAATTAAAGGAAATTGTGGATGAATTAATAAGTTGTGAGAACTGAGAAAATAAGAGAGAATTCTGAATAAATTCGAGAAAGTTTTCGAGAAGGCTTTGGAAAATGTAGGTTTTAAGGAGATGCTGTAGCAGGAAAATGTAATTTAACGAGATAAGTTTCAAGAAATTTTGGATGCAATACATAAGAAATATTTCTGAAATAAAGAACGAAGACATTTTTGGGGAGCTGAAGGAAATAAGAGAACGGGGCACGTTATGAATGGCTATAAGTCATCAAATATGGATTTAAATCAATGGAAATCCATTGGGGATGTCATCGTTCCATCTAGAGCTAGACAGATACCTGACTGTTTCAACTAACGCATCAAAAAGCGGAAACGATCAACTGGATTCCACCTCTGATGATGAAAGAAAGGACTCTATAAAGAGGACGAGACACCCTGTATCCTACAAACGACTCGTTCAAATTTGAAAAATAAACCATACGCGTGTAGGAAATTAAGAGCCCTTTCCAATGATTTCACTCGATCCAACTTTCAATTTAAAATTATTGAAGGAGTGGCAACCCTGCTTAGGGGGTTGATAGCAGGGGTGTAAATTTTGAAATAAAAGATGTCTCTCTTACAACCAAAATCGACGTTTTTGCGTTTTTCCAAAAACTATTTTCCTGCGAGCTATTCAGTCTGTTTCGTTTTCGTTGTGCCACCCTGTATATCTTCATTATGGCGAGGTTCATATTGGTGATCTGCGAAACGTTTTCCACCAGCTTCTCAGACTTTTTATTTTAGCGGGCGATTTTAATGCACTTAATCCATTATGGGGGTCCGTTAAACTTAACCCTCGCGAGCGCATGGTGAGTGATATGTCAGATAGTCGAAAATTGATACTGCTGAATGACATCTCTGTTACTTATATCCCGACTCGCTCAGAAACGTTTTCTACCATTGATCTAGTAATTACTTCCTCCTCGATCGGTGGTTCTTTGAAATGGATGGTGATGGGTGATGCATTTACTTACTTAATAGTGATCATTACCTCAGAGGGGTGCATCCATCTGGTGTCCTAACAACATGTTGGGACCAAATACTTTCGATGGCTTCGTTCCTCTTCCAGGTTTTGAAAAATTTGCTGACCGACCACTTTATTGATAATGGGTTTTTAAGTAGATGGTACGCCAAAAAGCAGCAAATAAATTGAAAATCAATAAATAAATAAATAAATGATAAAACTCTTCGGTATGTGTGTTGTGACTGAACTTCTTCTAAACGGCTGGACGGATTTTGATGAAAAGTTTTTTGTATGTGTCCGGAGAGTTTAGATTCACAATTTGATCCAATCAGATTAATGGATTTTTTAAATTTCTTTTTCGTGGATGTCGCACTCTGCTATTTCGCCTACCGATCGATATGCAACAAGTCACACGCGTCGTACGGTGCCGATGTGTTTTACATTTTTACGTTTTGTACGCTGGGTTTCCCTTATCGTATATCCGTCAATATCAAGCGTTATATAGTCGCGAGGGAAAATCTGGTAACTCTATAAAACTCTTCCGTTACTGAATGAAAGATAGGCGGAATAGCGGAAACTATTGGTCGCAGAAAGCTGAAATTTGGCATATACGCTTCTTGAGGATTGTAGGGTAGCACTAAGAAAGGATTGCCCGAAATTCCTACGGGAACGGGAAAAAAGGGATTTTACTTTTTACAGTCTGCGGAAGATAGTGACAACATTTAGAACGTTGGTTTCTTTGAATGTGTTAAAGTGTAGTCCGAAAGCTTTTCCCGAAATTCCCATGGGAACAAGGAAAAACTAAATTAGGAGAACGAAGTATAATTTGTATAATTTGTTCCCCTCGATGAGCACTACTGTGCGTTTGGTCTCATTCAATGCATAAGTTAATGATATTGTAATTGTATATTTATTCCAACTTTGTAGATCCAACAATAGGGGCGCTATGTCTCAGAAAAGGTAAAATCTTCAGTAATGTCCGAGAGAGAAAGCTAAACCAACTTATCAGGGATTTCTACTAACATGATTTGCTGAATACATTTATTTTTAATACTTATTAGAGATTACACATTAATATTACATTAATAATAAGTGATATGTATAATATGATATGTATGTAGTTTCTTTCATATATTTTATTAGGGTCCCTCTGATAATTTTTTCACAGTTGGATCAGTTGGATAAAGAGAGATACGTCACGGACAAAATTGTCAAAGGGACGTATTCAAAAAACATCACAGTTAGACAGTAAAATTGAAACAATTGAGTATTGTGCATTCAATTTACACAGTTTTGAGTTGATTCCTTTTTTAGGATTCACTTAATCTATTTATCTACTCTTTAGTGTTCTATTTCTAGGCCAGATTGAAAAATCTTTCAAAAAACCTTAAGTACTACAAAATGCCTCAGCCATAAACTTGAATGCTCTTGATTACCTATAACTATTATTCTATTAGTTTCTTTTTCAAGTAAATAAATATAAAGGAAGTTACACACTGCGCTATGGCGGTTTGTGTAATTGAGTGAAGGGCTCCGGTTGCAATTTTGAAAATGGTTTGCTTAATTATACAAATGATTGATTGTAATTCCAACCCACGTAACGCCTTGTGTAACTTCAATTTTAGTTTACATTAAACAGTACAACCCAAATGAGTAGTCGGGTCGGCAACAAACAATGAAATTAATGCATGGGTCTTTTATATGCTGTAAATCCAGTTAACCTTTTCTCGCCAGCAGTGTGTTGTATAGAATTTTTTATTTGGTCTGATGCTACTGGTCCTATACATACCAATGGATCCTTGAAATATGAACAAACCTATAACAAAGTTTGTGGTGAAGCTCTAGTTATTGACGACCTGGTTTACCTTTCGAGGTGCTTGCCTATGTCGCCTTTGCAATTGACAGCATAGTCCCCTTGAGATATCGCACTCGCTCGACATGTTGCACGTTTCGGAGTATTGCTTGTCTTGCCTCACGGGGGGCCTGCAGATTCTTGTTGCTCCGCCGGATTCTGATTCGGTACAAAGTAATCCTGATTCACAGTCGCTATCTCGTCTGCATAGTTCGCCGGCTCTTCGTCCGTATGCGAATAGACATGTTCCTGCTGGGGGTGGAGTGCAATTTTAACATTGTAAGCAAAAGTAGGGATTATGACTACAATTTTAATCAGTGGCATAGCAAGCAATCTCGTAAACCCCACAATTGCGAGGAGGAGAGGGAGGTGCAGTTACAGGGCGTCTTGTCTATCTCAAAAAAGAATTTTCTAAAATAATAAAACTCACATTTTTTCAAGTATTGCGTTGGCAACAGTTGTAATATTGAATTTCAATTAAATAATAATACAAGAGTGCTCTGAAGGAAATCCACCATTTCCACTGCATAATTTTTTTAAACTGTAATTTAAACTTACTGAGAGATCGTCAATAGGAGTACAGTTTTAATAACAAAAAAATTGCGTTGTCGACGTATAGGTTAGTGACATCTAGATAAAAGGGAGAGGCGTTAAATATTGTATGCGGAAGGGTGCAATGGTTCACAGCTACGCCACGCCGCTGAATTGTATTACATTAAATATTGTTTGTCAAAAAAGTTATTTAAAAAGTTAGCTGATACAACCACTTTGTTTCGTAACTAACCTCCATCAACGTCAACGCAAACTAAGCCGGGGCAGCAGTGTTCGTTTGCTGTACAACGTCGGCCGTAACATGGATCGTCGTCAGAATCTGTTTCAAACTCTTCTAGGATACCTTCATCACCAGCTCTCTATAACAAAGATTGAAACAACTTTAAATAGGGGTATAATGTACAGTTGTCTGTGATAGTTTACACTCTGTTCTGGTATATATTGGTAATTATTCAGACAGAGATCGTTTGAAAAGGATCATGACGAGGGTGCGTGAATGAAACATCAACAAGCAGCTATATGCTAACTGTTACCACTTCATTATTGTACTTCAAAGCGTTTTACAGTATCCCCTCCTTTTTTAGTAATACATTCATTTTTTTAAATTTATTTCACAAAGACTTTTAGGTACCTTGTCTTAAAAATGCTGAAATCTCACGAATATACCAAAAAATATGGGTAACTTTCTATGTGCTGCGGTTGGTGAGAAAAAAACTAAATCAGAGACACAAATGATGGGACCTTTGGAGGTATAGCCCCAAGCATTTGTATTGGTTTCTTTGGTAAAAGGGATTGATACCCTTTCTGTGAATACCATTGGAAATTCATTGCCACCTGGTTGTTTCGTAGCGGAGAAAACAATTGTACAGTTGGACATGAATGTGCTCTTCGCATACAGACCTTCGTTATGAATTCTGTAGGCTGTAGGGGTTAGTCTAAGCCCTTAATTCTAAATGTAGGTTAGTGAGAAATCAGGATATGTTGCGTTAGGGTTGAGCTCTTTTAATGCATCATTTTCCATCATCCTTGTTTCAGTCTTTTAGGAGTCAATTCCTCCACTACATTATGTAAGCATTTTCGTGCAATTTAAATTTCTTTATTAGTGCAGGCCTTATCTTGTGCGGTAAATTCAACCCGGAAAACTCGCCCTGGTAATTTCATCTTCGGAATATTTACCTTCAGCAATATTCGTCCCGGAAAATCCATCCTAGAAAATTCGCGCCTCAAGAAATCTTTACAACTAACCTATACCCCTGATAAAAAATAAGGGGGAAAGGAATTTCTAGATGGCCTTAAAAATGGTTTGTGTTCACAACATCGTGGCGTGAATCTTTAGAGGGCGAGTCTGAGGATATTGGGAAGGTGTTTTCTTGCGGGATAATATTCCGGGGTCGACTTTACTGGAGAGAGTTCTTCGGGGCGTATTTTCCTACAAATCGAAAGTTTGATTGCACCTAAAAATTAAAATACATAACATACAGTGATTTGATACCGCCATAAATTGAAAGGTGGAGAGACTTTTAGGGATATATTTTGGATATTGTCAAGCCACTATATCTAACGACATTAGGTGGTATTAACGAGTGATAAAAAAAGGCGAGTTCATGATTTTTTACTTACCGTCCGTCCGTTCGCCTGTGTACATGATAACTCAATTTTTCAATTCTGTTTTCAATAATAGGTAGACAATGGTCAAGGGACTAACTGATTAAATGTTGCTCAATATTCGTCAACTGTAAGTGACCCTTGTCGCTCGTTGTCTATATTGGTGCAGTTTATTGATGATTTCTTTTTGTTGCGTTATTATGAGAATTATTAGGTCACTGATTGAATGCAACCATTTGAAATACGCAATGTACTTATAGCAAAAAAATAAAAAATAAAAATTTTCGAGTCGAGCATGTAAAAAACCTTTACTTGTGCACCCGTATACGGCTAGGGCAATTCGGATATCTTCTAAATTAGTTGAATCTTTGGAAACTTTAAGGGTTTGAGTAGTTTGCGAATAAAAGTCATAGAAATACACAGAGTATCAAAATGTATCGGGCTGAATTGGTTCTCCAAATGACATGACGTCCTGACAACCTGATATCCTTGGTGGAAATTCAAAGAATAAATTTGTCAACCGCGGTGCAAATGTGGCACGTTTTTTGGCGTCGTTTAATTACTATGAAAAATTGTTTGTTAATGGGTTTCGGAAGCCTCTCGATCCGAGAAGTCTGGAATTTATATCATATTTCGTCTTCGTAATTAGTGTTGTTGGGTTTTAACTACTAGCTCAGCATTTGGGCACTCTTTTTATCAGGACGAGATGAGCAAGCAAAATTTCTATAGTTGGTCCCACCTCTTGGTTCTGTGCTTTTATTCTAATTGGCGCAATTAAAAAATATGGCGGATTTAGTTATTACATATGGTATTAAAGAAGGACAGTACTTAGTAGAGACATGCTTTCATGAATATAACGATTCTAATTGGCACAATTAAAAAATATGGCGGATTTAGTTATTACACATGGTATTAAAAAAGGACAGTACTTAGTAGAGACAGTGACTTTATACACTAGCTAAGGGATGCATTAAACCCAAACAACACACTAACGAAACTAGGCCGTATACCAGAGCGGGGCACAAGAATACAGCGATACCCGCGCCGCATCTGGGAAAAGGAAAGGAGAAGGTGTTTGGTGGATACAAGCCGCACACAACCCCCGCAGTAGACCCATGTAGGGTTGTGCGCCCAGACATTCTCAAATTTTTTTATGAAAATGGAAAATGTACTTATAATAAAGATATCAGTGGGAATTAGTTTTGGGTGAGATTTTGTGGATTCATTCCGGTTTTTGACTGCCAGGGTAATCGATGTGTAGTGTGCAAATTAGAATTGTCGCGTCTTGATTGCACTGGAGCGAATAGTGTCTCGTGATTCTGGTAGGATTTGAAAAAGATTCGCGTTTGGAAACCAAATTTTGAATCAGTTTCAATTGTTGGACAAACTTCACGACTATGTTTGGAACGTAAACTATAACAACGTGAGTTTCGGTAGTTATCGTTAAAAAGAAGTTCGTAGTCGTAAAATCATCGTAGTTGATCCATTAGAAAAAATTCAATAAATCCATTCTTCTATTTGTGATGAACTAATCAAGTGTTTCCAATTTATTTGTCAAATTCATTAACCGTTGTATTGGTAAAATGGTGGTAACTTTTAAAATATAAGGATACACCACAAAAGACTGCGTTGCGGAAATTTTGCATTATTTTAAAATTCAAAGAAGTTTCGTGTTACCGTCAGCAAGATTCCAATGTAGACGATCCGTCACCTAAGTTTCCTAATTCATGGTCACCTAATTCTAGGTCAACATTGTCACTTGCAAAACAACCGTCGTATATGAGGTGCCATTTTTATGTAACATTACAGGTTTGCGATGATTCAAGTTGGAATGTGTATAATGTTAGGTACCTAAATCGCTTCTATTTTAGGGCCATACCTTCCAAGATTCAAGAACTGAGTTTGTTTGCCGAGGAATCTAAAACCCCTTTAACATTTTGTGTTGTGCAGGGTGCAGAAGAAAAGACGTGCTCCGATTGAAAATCTCAGTTACTCACTAAACACTGACGATTACCACCTTTTATATGACGGCTTCTAATGTACCTACTAATTTCTGACCTATAAATAAATGAGCTTTCTCTTATAATCTCAAACTTTTGGAGTGCGGACCTCACTAAATATTTATTCCATGCACAGTGCTTGTAATATGTATACAGTTAGCTTGTTTCAATATACAATATACAATATACAAAATATTATAAATTATTATAAATGTCTTACAATATAAAGAAATGTTGTAAATGAAAGTTACAAACCTGTATAAATCCGCTGTGACCGCCGTATCCCATATTTGCAAGCATTTCCGGCGAAAACCTGTTAAACAATCCACCCCATGCGTGCGCCCGTTGTGTCAATACGGAGATTGCTATTATCACGATAACACTTTTCATTGTGATTTCTGGAACAGAAATAATCATTAAGAAACTAAAACGGTGATTTTAATACAGAATATTTAGTTGTGTAATTCAACTTTGCAATGTTACCACATTCTTAAATATTTCCATTATGGCTAATGGATGTGCCTGAGTACTATTACCACAATTTAGTTGTCTGCTTGTTAATGTAGACACTTTTAGACAAATACCAAATGAAGTTTATATATAGGTACACAAGATGAATTTACAATAGGGACTCATTTCTGCAAAATTAATTTGTGAAACCTCCTTAGGGTAGAATGATATGAATAGTTTCTAGTTATATGTATGTATAGTTTATAAACGAGCTGAACAATTAAGTAAATATTGTTCTACTACGAATAAATAGCTACGTGCACTAGCGAAATCAATCTATGTACCTACCTAGCAGGAAAATGAGTAACTAGATACTATTCCTGGGGGTTTAATTTATTGTATTAAAAGTTTATGTTAGAATTTTTTTTATTCAAAAGCTGGAAATGAGCATACTATTTTGTCAGCATTACGGGCTGTCTCATAAAAAACAATTTATTTGACAGAAGGAGAATTTTGGGCTTGGGTGATCAGACGAGATGTATGTACAAATGGGACATCGCGATGAGAAGTGGAATTAAAAAAAAAATGTATAAATTAAGGGTGCGTTAAAAAATGAAAAAAGGTTTTACTTTAGCGCATTTTCTATGAATTAAATACTTCCCGACAGGTCATACAACGTACTATTTATGTTTACAAAAGAAAATAAGTAAATAATAAACTTAGCATTGCGCAGGTTGCGCATGCGCGCATCTGATTTTTGAAATATGCGATATTATGTTCACGTTTAGTAGAAGTTTAAAATTTCAAAAAAATATAAGTTTGCTCATGTGCACATTTAATTTTTGTAACATGCGATACACTTGTCTTTACTAGAAGCATCTGCGGTTACAAGATCTTAATACTTGGAAATTGGAAAAGTATCCTGGCGGGCTCAATTAGTTTGTCATTCTGGATGCACAGTTAACAAACTCGTTGTCCAAAACGAATTTTCTTTGTAAGCTCCTGTGATCAAAGGACCGGATTCTCCCGGATTAATCTCAGTCGAGCATCTCTCGGAGAACAAATTTTTTTTGCTAAACACTCTTTGCTCGCCCAAACGAATGCAAAATCTTTCTATGGGCAATGGACTGGTCGTATCGGCGGCTCAAACGCGAATTCTTGTAAAATCTTCCTGAGTCCTGATTTTTTTATGGATTAATGAGCACCTTTTTCAAGATTTTTTCTTAAGAGCAAATCTGATTGGCGGCCCCCCCCCCCCCCCCTCTCTTGTTCCGTTCCTTACACACCACTAATTAACTTTACAATCCTAAATTCTTTCTTTCTTTATAAATGTAGGTACTCTTTACACAAATAGATTGGTATTTTAATTAATTCGACCTCCATTTTAATTCTTTTACCTTTACCGATTTCAGCATACAAATGTCCGTACAATTTTTTACGGAAATCGGATTCGCGAAATGCGTATTAATTTCCAAATTACTTGAAATGTAATAATGTTCTTTAATACACTTCAATTCCAAACGAAAAAAACCAAGTTACTATATTATTATTTCTTCCACATTATTTAGTAGGCTTCAATTTCCCGTAGGTATACATTCATTCCCTTTACGGTTGTATTTGTAAGCCTTTGTAAACCATAAACAACTAAACGAAGGGGTAATAGTCAACAAAAATTAAGGACGCGGCGATAAATTGTTTTGACGTCTCGCTATTCTACGGCACTAATTGTTTTATCCTCGTTTGTAAAACTTTGCGGAAACGGAAAATAATTTAATTAATTTCCGTCTACTAGAGAAAATTGTTGAACTGATTTACGTCATCCTTTGTTAGCCATGCATTCGCATAAAATGGAGTAAAAGAAAACTTTCATAATCATATTTCCCCAGCTATTTTTCTTTCTCTATAAGGTTTATTTTTCACATAATAATAACAAAGTGAACTTTGGAAACACTTCAAAACTTGGTGAGGCGAGGCTAATTGTGAAAATATGACAGAAAAGTACCTAAATATTTATTGTTGAAGTAATAATATTATTTGAACAGTTTACTATAAGGTATACATGATATTATTCGTATATTACTTAATATTCCCTATATTATGTATAGTATGCTGCAAAGAGCATCTTACAATATTACAAATAAAGTGAATTATTTAGAAATATATTTAGTGATAAGACAAAATTTAAAGACCCCTGTTGGAAATGCGGCGAGTAAAAGAACCCTTATTTTTGCCATATTTTTGCTAGAACAGTTTACTTTTGCTGGGGATGCTTTAGGGCATACAAGAAGAGAGTAGGTAGCGTTTGCCTTCAGACACCGAGAAGTAATCATGTTGAAAGTGTTGTCTAGAAATTGATTTTAGTATCAGCAGAAAGCTTTTTCTGGCCATAACTTCACTATTTGTAGAGCGACAAGAAATTATGAATATAATAATTAATCAGCATAAGCTTTTCCCATTTAACCGACTTTGTATCTCTTTCAGGTTACGAGATCCCTATAGTGGAAGCAACAACAAAAAACTCACCCTGCATAAGTAACTTAATATAATGTTACTCATAAAATTACCTACATTGCACGAATGCTTTAAGGAAAAAAACCAAATGTAAACTACTCGATATTTCTGATGTACATATTTCATTACCAGCTACGTATTTATTTATTACTCTGGAACCGAAATGAAACGTGCAGCTTTTAACGGCGTAAACCTTACGAACATTTTTATGATTCCCTTACGGCATTTACTTAGGCCCTTATTCCAATTTTGTTCAACGTCAACTGAATAATGAACGCAGCAAGGGAAAAAGGTCTGGCAATCTACATTTTCGTTTCTCGTGAAACCCTAATAAATCCGTCTAACTAGAAGATGGACACATAGGGAAAGCTTTAAACGATGCCATTTCAAAAATCTCGTTCGCCAACGCCCAAATGTCGAACTTCAAAATTTACGTATTGCTCGAAGTTGTATAATTTAACTTCTTTTGAGATGAACGATCAGTTTTACGTTTTGGCAGAAATATTTAAGATTGTACAAAACTGTTTTGCATTCTAATGTGGATATAAAATGAATTGATAAGTTAAAATTTGTGGAATTCAAAGAATGGATAATGAGGTTCTGATAAACGTATTTTCATATAATTCTTTTTTTTAGGTTATGCCATATGTGTTAATTTAATTACCTATCTTTGATTTATCTATATTTTAATCCGCAACCATTTATTAATGGGGTATACGTAAGTTCAAATTCCACGAAATCGTAGACTCTTTCTAGAACTTGTTAAGTTCGCCCTGCATAATGAAGGCCCAAAATTTCAAAAAAGTGCCCAAAGAGCACTCTAAAAGGTGTTTACTTGCGCTATTTAAATCCGCACCAAAGCAATCTAGGAACTTTTCATACATTTTTGGGCCCTCTCATGATTTCAGTTTAGTCCCTCTTAGTGCTTTCTAGATCTACTTATGTATGAAAAGTATTCAGACGGGTTTCAAGCCTAGAAAAGGGCTAAGGAGTTCGTAAACGTCCTTTATTTAAACTCCTTATGTAGTGCGAGGTGCTGTTCGGTATCACAGCGCATAGGTAAGGCCCTGTAAAAGTTAACGTGGATGTCGACAGACCAATGAATATAATATACGAGTATAATGAATATAACTCCCCCAAGTGAAATACTTTCAAAATGGCGATTCTTTTGAAAGTGCTAGAAGGGGGTAGCAACCTCATTATTTAAAATGGCAAAATTTAACTTTTTTCATTTTTAAAAATGAAAGTAATTGACCTTGATAACGTTATTGTTATTGACCATCAAGTTTCCATTAGTGTTTAGTGAAAAAATAAGGCTTTTTTCTACTTTTTCGTGCGGTGATCGATTTTAACCATTAAAAAGTGAACATTCCTCGCTTCTTTTGTTCTTTTTAAATTAACAACTACATAAAATACACATACATCCACAAAAAATAAGAATAATCTTAAACAAAGAACTTTATTCAAAGCCAACATAAAAGAGGGCACAAGAACCGACTCCATAGGCACAATTGTTTCATTAAAATTCCCTTAAAATTTACATAATTATTATCTTCCCGTACTTCATGGATCAGTTAAAATAAACATCGCATTAATGTGTTTAGCAATACTGTTCCGCAGGCATTGAAATATTGAAATCCAAAAAGCCAGTCTATATGCAACGTGGCTTATCCAAATTAACGTCGACATGAATTTGTCATTAAACCTTAATTAATACGTATGCGTACCTAGGGGCGCTTCAATTAACTACAGCCTTGCGTGAACAAACAATTCAATCAAAATGGTGTACTTTTCCATCGCGTAGTTGCGAAATTAATTACTTATGTTGAAATTTCCACAACTAACCCAATAATCGAGAACTGGAAGACTTATTTTCATTGTTTAATTTAGCCTATATAAAGAGGAGTCCTAATATTAGGTTTGTGAGATGGTATCTTAAGCATAAATTACTCGAATATTCGTTTTTTTCGTAAAGCATGCGACATGTCATGATAGTTCAACATTCAAATTAAGGTGGTATGCGGCTAATATAACAAATTTCTAACGCCATTAACATAACTAGAAACACAGAACTCCCCTTTGCGTCAATGACTTGAATAAATTATGGGTACGAAGTAGGCACAGAATACAGCGTACTTTATATTCTGATGGTACAGGTAGCACATGCTTAGGATTAAATTGAGGGATGAATGTTCCTCCCAAGCAAAATTTAGGTATACGTAGTGAGATTCCGACCGATTCCGACCCTTCTAGGGTATAATCAACGAAAGCAATTGCCTCAAATTTTAACGGAAAGCTTTGAAGTGTGGATGACTACTGTCAATATTGGTCTAATAGGTAAAAGGTTTGCTAAGTAATTTGCGTTTGCACACTAGTGAACTATAAACATAAATCAAATAATAACAGTTGGAATTTCTGCAAGATTTACTTTTTGGAA